TTTCGGGTTGCAGAAGTCATTTCCGGCCCTGTTTTTTCGATGACTGCAGCTGTTTTTCCAGAATCGACCATTGAAATACCGAAATTTTAGAAATTTTCTAAAATTCTTATTTCTTACCGAATCTTTCGAAAATGTTGCTTCGTGACCATAAACATGCTAAATTTTTGAAATCAGCACGTCGATATCTATATCCTTGAATTGATTTTTTCAAAATCGCCCTTTGAAATACCGCAATTTTTTTAAATTTCCAAAAAATTGGTATTCCAAACCAAATCTTTTGAAAATGTTGCTCTGTGCCCATAAACGCGCTATATTTTTGGAATCAGTATATCGAGATCTAGCTTCGCCTACCCGCGCTTTCTTTTCTTAGAGGGTATGTCATTTGCCAAAATCAGTCTTATCTTAGCAGGTACTATTTTTACTTATATTTTGCCTTTTTTTTCTTAATATACATCGCCATCTTTTCACAACAAGAAACTTAATACCTGATTAAAATGTTATATTTTTTCATCTTGTGAAAAGAAGTCATATATTAAAACAAAAATGCAAAATGTAAGATAGTCCACCCCACCCACCCTAACTCAATTCTGATGGTTTTTTTGATTCGCCGTGAAGCAAGGGGGCGGAGCTTAACAGCAAAATATTTATTTCTTTACAAGAAATTAAAAACATGTCTTTGAGTATCGTGTTGTTCAAAGAATATTACATATGTACGTTAAGAAAAAAAGGCAAGATATAAACCCCGCCCACCCGCCCCGTCTCGTTTGTGACGATTTTTTTTATTCTTAGAACTTAAAACACGTTTAAAATGGTAAATAAACATTTTCTTATTTAGAGTTGCTTATACAGAATGACTCAAAAAATGTATGAATGAAGCAGTATATTTTATTGATTAAATCAATAATGGCTTCCCCATTTTCCAAAAAATTATTGTTGGTATTACACGTCCATGCTAGAATGTTGCTGACGTCATCACAAAATTTTATAATGGAAAAATTTACTACCTTTACTACACACATATCGTTACTTTTACTTACAAAAAAAATCACGAACATACATTTTATAAATTTTCGAAAAAAATGTGTAAGTTGTAATGTACTTCAGGGGCAAGGGCAGTTCTGACCATCGATTTTTTTTTTTGAAGGGGGAATGAAGGATCACTAAACGTTGATATTTTACCAACATTTCAGAGGTCTGTTTAATCTTAAATAAAACAGTTAAAGAAATAATACATTATATTAAAAAAAAAATTAAAATAGAGTCCGCCAAATAGTGAACATTGGCTTTCTGCTTATTGCAAACTAGCACTAACCTCTTCGATTGCTTGTCTGAAAGGAACAAAAGTCAATGAATCAGATGTACATGGACATATTTTATCTTATAATTTAATCACCGCCAAGCAACCTAAGCAGGCAATTGTACATCATCTTCTGGAAACAGAAAATCAATGTTCACTGTTTGGCGGACTTTACTATACAGTAAAAAATTATAACTTATAAGACGTTTCAACTTAACCACACCTTCAGGCTACGACCAAAGTAAATAAACCAAGTACACAAAAATAAAATTGCCGCCCTTTTTCGTGTTTTGTTATTTATTAATTGACGTTACCTAACTCAATCGAGTGAAGCTAAATTTATCCCTCGTAGGTAAATATAGCTTTCCCGTACAGTTTTTGGCTTAGAGATGTGTTCTTATTGCATCATTTAAATTCGAATATAATTAGTGGAAACCATTTACAAGTGCCGCTTCCGCATTTTAATTTTTTTATGTTGAAAATTTGAGCTTATTAACTTTATTTTCGTAACCGGATTCATAAATCTATATTGATTCTTCATTCTCGAATAGTATTTATATATATTCTCATAAGGACTTGCTTATCATTTGTAAATAGTAGAAAGCGCGATAAAAACGTTAGTTTTATTATTATTATTCATACAAAACAAATGTGTTATTTCTTTGTAGGTTTTACTAGTATAATGCGTTATCGTGTGTGTGCAACCACATGAGTAATACACGTGAACTAGTAAATATTTCCAATGATATTTTTAACAAAACAGTCTAAATTTAAAGTATATACAAAACTCGGGAAACTTAACACACATGAAACGAATTTTAGTCAAAAATGCTGTCTAAAATCTAAATAATGGGGCCAAATTTAAATAAAAATTTTTGCCCTCTGGACAGTGTCCTGAAAACTACGCCGGGGCGACTTCAATGAAGTTAGTCATGCGTTGCCAAAAATTGCATGTAAAAATTATGTAAAGCTAAATAATAGAGTTTAGCCTCCCAAGATTTTCAACGTGGAATAATAATCGTGGCCTTTCTAATTTAGTATTGTTGCAAAAACGTTTTAAAACTATCACAGCTATTAATCTTGACACTCCACTTTTAAAATTTTTGGCAAACAATTGCAGTTTGTACACGATTTTAAATTCAATTTTTATTGTATATTTTTGGTACCTTGGCGTACTTTGCGGAAATATTCTAATAAGATTCTTTGGCGTTTTATAGCTCCTAGAATATAAATAAATTATGTCTCAGGTTTCCGTCCGTCGTCTGCCGACTGTCTGTCTGTCTGTCTGTCTGTCTGTCTGTCTGTCTGTCTGTCTGTCTGTCTGTCTGTCTGTCTGTCTGTCTGTCTGTCTGTCTGTCTGTCTGTCTGTCTGTCTGTCTGTCTGTCTGTCTGTCTGTCTGTCTGTCTGTCTGTCTGTCTGTCTGTCTGTCTGTCTGTCTGTCTGTCTGTCTGTCTGTCTGTCTGTCTGTCTGTCTGTCTGTCTGTCTGTCTGTCTGTCTGTCTGTCTGTCTGTCTGTCTGTCTGTCTGTCTGTCTGTCTGTCTGTCTGTCTGTCTGTCTGTCTGTCTGTCTGTCTGTCTGTCTGTCTGTCTGTCTGTCTGTCTGTCTGTCTGTCTGTCTGTCTGTCTGTCTGTCTGTCTGTCTGTCTGTCTGTCTGTCTGTCTGTCTGTCTGTCTGTCTGTCTGTCTGTCTGTCTGTCTGTCTGTCTGTCTGTCTGTCTGTCTGTCTGTCTGTCTGTCTGTCTGTCTGTCTGTCTGTCTGTTTACACCCATTACGTTAAGTCTTTGCAACGCTCAAGGCTGATGTTGAATTTGCTCAGTTTCTAATTACCGTTGTACAAACTTACTTTATGGCACCATTTTGTAATATCTTCTAAACAATTCTAACCTTGCAGTTTACACCAACATTGTTTCTATTTGCTTAATGTTCCACATTATGAAAACTGTAAAACAAAGGTTTTGACATTCAAACTTGAAATAAAACCGATATAAACTAATTATAGGTGCAAAACAAATATATAAAATTCGTTCGAAAATGACCGACATTGAAATAATAGATTCAACGGACTAGACTGTTGCACATACGTGTATCTATTTTGCAATCGACCTTAGAATTGTGTAGGTGAAAATAACGTATGCAAAGCAATTGCCAGTGGTTTTTAATTGCTTTCGATGTTGGACAGAAGTCGAAGAGTTACTTTAACATGACACATGTGGAATATTTTGTCTGAATTAGAAAAAATCGAGAAAGTGGAGAAGCGGTAGCGTGCTATTTTATTCAATCCAGAGATAAATTAGTAATAAGATGTTTGACCTTTCGGGTCGTTCTTGGACCATCAATAACATAAAATAATTCGTTGAATTCTAAATCAAGCAATAGGGAGGATACGTGGAATTTTATTTTTTGATGCTTGTTTTCAATCTCGGGTTTAATCGCAGATGACAGTGAAATATGTATTTTACACTACTTTTATCGGATGTATAGATTTATGAGATCACCAACCAATATAATAAATTCCTAGAGGTTAAATTGTTCCATCGTGAATAACCGAATTTGTGTTTCAGCTGTACTTTAAATCAGATATTAATACAATTTTGCGATTTAATTTATCATTTTAACACAGAGGTGCGTTCTAAAAATTAAAAAACCCGAATTTAATTTCGCATTTTAATGTAATTAGGTCACTGCAGGATAAAATTCAACGATAAATTCAAAAATGCTTCACTGACTATAAATCACGTTCGTAAACAACTGCCAAGTTGCTAAAAAAGCAGCAAGGGCACGAAACGTGTAGTTGTAGCGTTTACAATCCGGAAGAAAAAAGCGTTGCGTAGTTAGAGTATAAGTGAAGAAGTCTTGAATTATTTTCGAACGTGGTATTTTTAAACAACGATATTTGTCTGGCGCTTATCTCTAACTATTGTTTACTATAAAGTGTATACAAAAAGAGTGGCACTGATTGATGATCTGGTGCTTAAATGAGTGGTGGAGATATTTTATCGATTCTTTGATACGTCTTTGGAATAAATTTGGGTTTGCTTTCTTAACAGAACCGACAAGGGCAGTATTTCTTTCGCGTACATAATTTAAATCTTTTCATTGGAAAGTAAACACTCGCTAATAAAATATTGTGTTAGACAACCAGAACAGCTTGTTTTACAACACGTCCTGAGATAAAATCGTCTGATTTCTTGTCGGTACATATTATGTCGTTGTTGATTTTGTAGAGCGCGTTGTATATACTTTTTTCGCTGTTCTAACAAGAAATCAACTATTACAAGGCTAATTAAACATAATACGGCATTTATGAAGTTAAACAGAGTTATTAATATTAATTTCCAGTAAAGTTCTCTGTAAAGTTTCGCGTATTTATCGAAGCGCAACGTTTCGTTATGCACACAATGTTATCCTGAAAGATCTTCAATTAAAACGAGCGAATTCCAAGATAATTCATCCAAGAGCGACAAACGCGCATTTAAAACAGTTCTAATACTATTCTTAACAAGAAAAGTCAGCTTAATTGCGATCGAAATTGTTGGCAAGAAACACGTATCACAATTGCAAGGTTTCGTCTAACTCTAAATAATAGAACACATCAAATACGCCGACAGCTCTAAAGTGTCGTCCTTGAAAATTTACGCGATTAACGCTGTTTATTCGATATTAGAAATGTGGGTGGTTAATGTTTTTTTTTGTTGTTTCAGCGTGCAAAACCTGAAAATTCACGTGGAAAGCGCGTTCAAGATCCCCGTCGATAAGCAAGTCCTTCTGATCAGCGGTGGTGAACATTTGCGTCCCGACGACAGGGTTTGCTCGTATCCGGCTGGGACTGATACGAATCCGATTTTTCTATTCAGCAAGTATTTGATCGAACGTGATCAACCGCCTGCGGCTAGCGTTGATTATGGATCCGAGCATGGTAAAATTTTTGGTTTTTCGATAGCACGTTGAGCCCATTCGTAGATTTGGGGAGGAGGAGAAGTGGGGTTTTGTCGTGACGTCATGGAGGCGTTCGGCCGATTCGGGATGCGGTTCCAGAATGTGTAACAAAAGGGTTGTTAAAATGACGAACGAGCTTTTGTTTGGAAGGCAGATTTCATCGTGTTGGAGAAACCGCGATCATGGGTTCATTTATCAACGAAATCTCGCTTTAGAGATTTTCTTGACATCTAGCGAAGACAAATAAAAGTAATCCGTTCTGATGTTTTATAGCTTGCAGGGGACTTTCAAAATTAAATAGAGCGGAGATAAATCGCGGAAAAAATATGTCATCTTGAATTGATGTTTCGCAGTCTCCGCCAATCGGTAAAGAATTGGCGCAGGTGGAGTCGGTTTTCCACCAAAGGTGGCGTTAAAATTTGTACGTCAAAAATGGGAAGAACAGCCCGAAAATCGTAGCTTTTTGTTTTGAGTTAGAGAAGATTAAAAAGACGAGAAATTTCTGTGTTGTGTTAAGAATGCACGATCAATTATTTTTTTCAATTTTTCATTTCTTGTTTTTAATTTTTCCAATTTTTATCTTCTGAATTTTCCGAATTTTTGTTTCTTCAATGTTTCGTCTTTTGAATTTTTCAATTTTTCGTTTCTTCTTTTGACGGGAGTTTTTATTTTTCGATTTTTCTTTTCAGTTTTTCAAGTGTTCGATTTTTAGTATTTTGACTTTTCAAATTTTTCGATTTTTCAATTTTCCATTTCTTCTTTCCGATTTGAAGAAATCGAAAATCGGATTTCATTTCTTCGAATTTGTAGATTTTACTCTTTCTACTTTTCAAGTTTTTTTCGTCCTTTGACTCTTGCACTTCACCTTTTTATCGATTTTTCGTTTTTTGAAATTTTAGATTTTTCGTCTTGAATTCTTCGAGTTGACGTTTCCTGAATTTTTTATTTCTTCAATTTTTCGTCTTCGGAATTTTCAAATTTGTCGATTTTCCACTTCGTTTTTTGAATTTTTAGAATTCACGTTTCTAGAATTTTTATTTCTTCAGTTTTCCGGCTTTTCATCTTTTCACTTATTCAGTTTTCCGTTTCAAGTTTTCGATTTTCCTTCTTCAGAATTTTCGAATTTTTCGATTTTATAATCTTTCCACTTTGCAGTTTTTTTTTTGTATTTGGACTTTCCAGTGTTTCATTTCGACCTTTTACCGATTTTTCATTTTTTAAATTTTTGGAGTTTTCGTCTTCTGAATTTTTTGATTTTTGATTTTCCATTTCTTCTTTTCGATTTTTCATTTCTTTAAATTGTCGATTTTACAATCTTTTCACTTTTCAGTTTTTTCGTCTTTTAACTTCTTCAATGTTTCATTTCGCCTTTTTATCGATTCGTTGAATTTGTCGATTTTTCGTTTTTTGAATTTTTCGATTTTACGTTTTTTGAATTTTTATTTCTTCAATTTTCCCACTTTGCATCTTTTCACTTATTCGATTTTATAATCTTTCCACTTTGCAGTTTTTTCGTCTTTTGATTTTTTCGTGTTTCATTTTGCCGTTTTTCGAATTTATAATTTTTTAAATTTTTCGGCCTTTCTGAATTTTTCATTTATCCAGTTTTTCGATTTTTTATTTCTTCAAATTTGTGAATTTTACAATCTTTCCTGTTTTCAGTTTTTTTCGTTTTTTGACTTTTTCAATTTTTCATTTTTTGAATTTTTCGATTTTTCGGTTTTATAATCTTTCCATTTTGTAATTTTTTCATCTTTTGGTTTTTTCAATGTTTCATTTCGCCTTTTTTCGATTTTTTATTTTTTTAGATTTGTCGATTTTTCAATCTTTCCACTTTTTAGTTTTTTCGTCCTTTGACTTTTTCAATGTTTCATTTCGCCTTTTATTGATTGTTTGAAATTTTCAATTTTTCGTCATTTGAATTTTCCAAATTAACGTTTCTTGAATTTTTGTTTCTCCAATTTTCCTACTTTTCATCTTTCCAGTGATTCATTTTTCCTTTCAATTTTTCGATTTATGGTCTTTTCAATTATTCAGTCATTCCTTTCAGTTTTCGATTTTTCGTCTTACGAATCTTCAAATTTTTTGATTTTTGATTTCATTAAATTTGTCGATTTTACATTGTTCCCACTTTTCAGTTTTTTCATCTTTTGAATTTTCGAATTTTTCTATTGTGTAATCTTTCCATTTTGTAGTTTTTTCGACTTTTGGCCTTTTCAATGTTTCATTTCGCCTTTTTTTCGATTTTTAATATTTCCGTTTTTGGATTTTTCATTTGTTGATCTGCCCACTTTTCAGTGTTTTCATCTTTCGAGTTTTTCAATGTTTCAATTCGTCTTTTTACCGATTTTTTTTATTTTTTGATTTTTCGTCTTTTAATTTTTTTCGACTTTACGTTTCTTGTATTTTTTATTTCTTCAATTTTTTGTCATCCTTTTTTAATTATTCAGTTTTTCGCTTCAATTTTTCACTTTTCGAATTTTTCATTTCTTCAATTTGGTCGATTTTACAGTATTTCCGTTTTTCAATTTTTCGTTTTCAGATTTTTCGATTCTGCAATTTTCTATTTCTTCATATTTTCGATTTTTCATTTCTTCAATTTTGCCGATTTTACAATCTTTCCTTTTTCAGTTCTTTTCGTCTTCTAACTTTTTCAATGTTTCATTCCCCCTTTTTTCGATTTTTAATTTTTTCAATTTTCCGATTTTTCATCTTTTGAATTTTTCGATTTTACTTTTCTCCAATTTTTTAATCTTTCGTCTTTTGAATTTTCAGTTTCTTATTTCCTTTTTAGACTTTTCAGTTTTTCATTTTTTCAATTATTCAGATCCGCGATTATTTAAATAGTTGAATTTCTCATCTTTGAAGTTTTTTGATTTTTGGTTTCTTCAATGTTTCGTCTAGAAATTAAAAATCGAAAAATCGAAGAACTGAAAAATTGAAAAATTTGAAATTGACCACTCAAAAAATCGCAAATTGAAAAAAAGAGAAATGAAACATTGACAAAGTCAAAATACAAAAAAAAAGTGAAAAAGGGAAAGAATGTAAAATCGGCAAAATCGAAGAAATGAACAATCGAAAAGAAAAATGGATAATTGAAAAATCGATAACTTTAAAAATTTAAAAGACGAAAAATTTAAATCTGAAAAGTTGAAAAATTAAAGAAACGAAAAATCAAAAAATGCGAAATAATACATTGGAAAAGTCAAAAGAGGAAAAAAAACTTTACAATGGAAACAGTAAAATCGACAAAATTAAAGAAAGGAAAAACTGGAAAGAAGAAAGAATAGAAAATTAATAATGGAGCAACTGAAAGTGGAAGAATTGCAAAAACGTAAGTTGAAATATCTACAAACTAAAAATCGAAAAATCGAAGAATTGAGAAATTGAAAAAGAAGGAGGAAAATCGAAAAATTGAAACATTTGAAGTTGACCACTCAAAAAATCGCAATTCGAGAAAAGGCGAAATGAAACATTGAAAAAGTCAAAAGAGGTAAAAAAAAATTAAGATGGAAACATTGTAAAATCGACAAAATTGTAGAAAGAAAAATTGAAAAGAAGAAAATAAAAAATTAATAATGGAGCAACTGTGTTTCGTACATATGTTTATGGTTGCGAAAGATAGGCAAGCAGCAATTCCTGTCCACCCCCTTATTGCCTACCCTTAACTACCACCCGCCTATAATCCCCACCCACACAAGAAAGCCGCCCTCTGGGAGAAGAAAATTTAAAAACATTTTGTAACGAATTTTCATCGTTGTTCGCTAACCGTCGAAGTGAGAACATCTCGTGGCGGCCCGTTGTTATTGTTGTTTGTTGTTTCATTTTCGTTGCTGCAAGAGGCCCCAGCGCCTTTTCTTCGTATCTACAAAAGGCCCAGGTGCCTTCAATCGAGAGAAATCGTCGAGGAAGATCGTTGCAATCAGGGTGAGTCCGTTGTCCATCTTCCTTATATTGTTGTTTTGCTTATATGACTTGCGTCGTAAACAAACTGGAAAGTAGAAAAATTGCAAAAATGTAAAGTAAAATATCTAGAAATTAAAAGTCGAAAAATTGGAAAATCGAAAAATTGAAAAATTTGAAAATGACCACTCAAAAAATTGCAAATCGAAAAAAGACGAAATGAAACATTGGCAAAGTCAAAAAAACTGAAAAATGGATAAAATCGACAAAACTGAAGAAATGAAAAATCGAAAAGAAGAAATCGAAAATTGGAAAATCGAAAAATTAAAGGAACGAAAAATTTAAAAAGTCAAAAAAGGAAAAAAAACTTTAAAATAGAAATATTGTAAAACTGACAAAATTGAAGAAACGAAAAATTGAAAAGAAAGAAAAAATTAATAATCGAGCAACTGAAAAGTGGAAAAATTGCAAAAACGTAAATTAAAATAACTAGAAATTAAAAATCGAAAAATCGGAGAATTGAGAAATTGAAAAATGCATAAGTTGGAAAATCGAAAAATTGAAAAATTTGAAGTTGACCACTCAGAAAATCGCAAATCGAAAAAAGGCAAAATGAAACATTGACAAAGTCAAAAAAAAACTTAGAAATAGATTTAAAAAATCGTAAAATCGACAAAATTGAAGAAACGAAAAATCGAAAACAAGATATTGACAATTGAAAAATCGAAAACTTTAAAAATTCAAAGGATGAAAAACCAAAAAAATGCGAAAGGAAAAAGTCGAAAGAGGAAAAAGAAACTTCAACATGGAAACATTGTAAAATCGACAAAATTGAAAAGAATAAAGAATGAAAAATTAATAATTGAGCAACTGAAAAGTGGAAAAATTGCAAAAACGTAATTAGATTAAAAATCGAAAAAAGGCGAAATGAGACATTGGTAAAGTCAAAAAACTGAAAAATGAATAAAAAGATCGTAAAATCGACAAAATTGAAGAAATGAAAAATCGAAAAATTCAAAAAACGACAATTCGAAAATTAAAGAAACGAAAACTTTAAAAATTCAAAAGGTGAAAAATCGAAAAAAGGCGAAATGAAACATTGAAAAAGTTAAAAGAGGAAAATGAGAACATTGTAAAATCGACAAAATTGAAGAAAGGAAAAATCGATAAGAGGAAAAAATAAAAAGTTGATAATCGAGAAACTGAAAATTTGAAAAATTGCAAAAACAAATAAAAATATCTACAAACTAAAAACCGAAAAACTAAAAAATCGAAGAAAATTAAAATTCGGGAAACTCAAAAATTGCAAAATAAAAAAAACCGAGAAATTTCATTATGAAAAAGTTGAAACATCGCAAAAATTAAACACGATGAAAGCAATAGAATTCGATTAGGGCCGCCCAAATGCTCAGCTGTGATTGGTCAGCACTACTCGTTACTTGTCCCCACATCAGTGTATACTTCTGTTAAAATCACCAAGATGTGACACAGAAAGCTTGAAAAAAAAAGCTGTGTTTGCTATTTTAATCAGAAGTGGGACTAAAATTATTCCTTGAGCTGATAATTTGATTCCAATTTTACTGAAGTTGACATAAAATCAGAAAATTTAAGATGAATCATAATAATGGAGAAAGATTGTTCATAATGCTTGAACTAAATTTTTAGTTTTATAATATTATAATTAATGATGAGTAATTCTTAGTAAATTAACTAGAATTTTTTTTTTTGTAATTATTCCAGATGTACTGTAGATGTATTACCTCGTACGCGAGCATAAAATTGAATCTTTTATTAGCTGTTCCAATTGCAAAAACATCAACAAATCGTTCTAGTAACCTTGCTTGCAACTAAACTCCGTCTGTTATTAGTAGTTTTAATCGCCATAAAACCAAGAACATTCTTATTATCAGTATAACGATCGTATAGGTGGAGATTACTGTTTGTTACGAATGTTATTCTTTGACTCTTAATTGATCAAGGCTACATGCCAAAGGCAAATTGAAATTTGGCATACCATAATAATGATGATGCAAAAATTGGTCATGTTTATTTTTTATTTATTATATCAAAGTCATTTGTCGACTTCGGTGCTCGTTAGGAAGGAATTTTGTCGCAATTTTTTGTGATACATTTACTAGAAATAATAATAAAATAACAAGATACAATTAATTTAAATCATTGAATGCTGAATTTTAACGAGAAACTATGTTCGATTTGAATGAGGTTTACTATTGGCAATTAAAATTTAAACAATGAAAGTTTTCGCATCAAACAAAACAATAACAATTGTCGCAATCAAACTAATATATCTTGCTTTCGACTTATTTTGATTTTGAAAAAGATGTAATAAAATTTACTTTCAATCGCTTTTTTCTGAGCTCTAAAGACTGATTTGATTGGTGTTTTTTCAGCCAATTAATAGGGAAAATGTGAGAACTAGAACAGAACATAAATTTCTGTCTCAGATCCAGTTTTTTTATTGTTTTTTTTTTTCGTGTGTTAGTGGACCGAACAAACTACTTGGTAGCTTTTATGGTGCAAAGGTTGGCTAAAAATATTAATTTATCTTACATTTTAGCACATAACCCAACTTTATGAATTCATCCTAAATTTCGACAGCGTCATCTAAGTTCTGCAGCAATTTGATCCATCCATATTCGGGTAGCTTCTAATTCTTATTTTTTACGAGTTCCTTAAAATAAATCCAGCAGGAATAATTCAGTCGTAAATTCACAACACCTATTTTCCGATGGCAAATAAACAATACAATGTGCTTTTCCATGTTCCAGTAATTTATTTGCACGTCAATTGTTTTTTAGCCACCAGCGCAGCTAATTGTTAAGTAAACTGAAATTGAGGTCCACTATTGATTAAATTTGATTTAGAAAATGTGATTTATAGTGTTTACATTTATAAGTGAATTAATGTTTTTTCTAACAGTGGCTAATCACTTTAGCACTTTGGACTACAAAGATAACGTTACGTTGATTAGCTTCTTAAATGGGTACATGCATTTTTAACAAGAAAATTAAACATAATGGAACACAAATCAAAAGCAAATTGCATCGTTAGTGAAGTTTCGTCGTAATATATGTGAAGATCTTAACACACTATACAGTTTTAACGCATTAAAAACCTTGGTACGTCTGCACAGCTTCAGAATATCCTAAAATAAAACAAAACTGTGTAGGGCTCCGTATAACTACTTAATTTTCCTGGCGACTTAATTTACTCCACTAAGCAAAGTAAATAAATTTAAAATTATAAATTCTGGCGCGTGGGAGTTAAAACGCCGGCAAACAAAGTCTTAAACAAAGCCCAAGTGACTGTCATTATTCAAAATTAAATCTGGAAAAGGTAGTCTACTGGAGGGTACTACGATGTTCCAAATGATGCTTCTAATATAACAGACAACGAAAATACAATTATCAACTTGTATTTGAGTTGAGGTAACAAAAATGGCGCAGTCAGTAGGAATCGGTTAGAGTTATCGGTATGAAATTAATGTTTAATGTCATTCACAATCGCTCTCCAAGCTTTCTTTCATCTGAGACCCTGAAAAGGAATCACTAATGTCTTGTATAAAATTACGTGAATCTATTTTGGCACCCCATTTAGAATGTTTGTTTTGTAATACAAATAGTGGAACTTCGCATGAATATATGCAGCTTCAAGCCTCCACAACATCCACACAAAGCTGGCTAGATTTACAAAGAGACGAATCACCATTTCTCCTCTTCCTAATCATGCAGTTCCATCGCTTCATGTTCGCCCATATTCAATGCATTATCAAGCTATGTTCATAGATTTTACCGCCAAAGTGAAAGAATCCAGCGACCTGCCACCCACATACAACACAGTACAAAGAAGAGCCCAACTAGCGCGACAATTTTGCGAAAGCAGTCAACTCCAAATGGGACTATGCGAAAGGCTGGTTCATGAACAACACCTACAGCAGCAAGGATGGTCGGCCGTCATAGCAAACTTAGAGGATTTAAGTGTCGAATTGAGACACCGCTGGAAAGTGTACCAAGAGTCGTTCAACGAATACATAGCAAAGCGTGACTCGTATATGGATTTTTTGAACCAGTGAGTATTAATCGTTGCACGCACATAAACTTTTGTTGCAGGGTACTTATTATCGTGTACTGCTTACAGATTCAAAGATGATCTCGTTAAATTAAAAAAAATTCCTGTGTTACCTGCCCTTATAGAATCACAAAAATTAATAGTACCTGAGCAAGATGATTTCTCTGAGGATCAACAAACCGTGAGTGTCAGATCTGAAGTGTCGCTTATGGATTGGATATCTGAGAAGGATAATTTTATGGATTGTTTGTTTGAGGATTGTTCGAAAGGACTTACACAGGTTCGTTTTATAAATTGCTTGAGTTAAACAAGTGACACTTGTTTTGTAGACGGACAAGAACGAGTTCGAAATGTTAGAAAAAGAAATAGAACGAAATTTAGAAATGACTGAGAATATAACCATGAAAGAAATTAAAGGACTGGGCGATAGACTTTTCGGTTTGGAGAAACTAATGCAAGATGCGAAACGATACGTTAGCGAGCAAGTCAAAATTGCCGAATCGTTTCAGAGGGTGAGTGAATGTGTGCCGAGTGCGCATGCGCCAACTTTGCACTTAAGTTTTTTCAGAATCACAGTAGGACGGGTCAATTCAAGGAGCAATCGGTGTTGCCAGATTTGTGCGCTACTCATTTCCACCAGCTGAACGTTCTTCTGGAGAACTACAACCGTTTACGTGACATCACGCGCCGGTGTATTAAGTGCAAAGACGAACTCAGTTCTAATCTGTATCACAGACTTAAATGGATTGTGTTCATGGAAGATACTCTATCCGAATTCGACAATAAACTAGTGTTCAGCTATCATAATTTGTTGAGTTTGCAAAGGGAGTTGGAGATTCTAAAACAGGTCCACACGGCACCGGCTACGTATTTTGCGTCGATTGTTGAAGTCGTTCGAAGGCGGAAGGTGTCGCAGTCTTACTTACTGGTGAGTATAAGAGGCGAATTTTACTTTGTCGAGTTGTGTGGTCTGTTTACCGAACAGATGGAGCGATAAGTAAAGAGTTCTAGAAAAACTGACAACTTCTTAAAAGTAGAGAAGTTGGAGAATTTGTAAATTTGCTACTTTTCTGCATCGTTATTTTTAACAGCAAACAAATTTCTTGAATATTCCTGAAACACGTTTTTTCTTTTATTGTTGCAACAGAGTTACCTTGGAAATGCCATTTTTTTTCCACACATTTCTTTGGTAACGTTTAAAAATTGAACGAACTGTTACCAGAGTGTTACAACAAGAATCGTTTTCTAATAATTAACTACCGCAGAAAGTAATTTTGATCATTTACGAAGACTCCTCTAGCCGCCATATTTTAAAAGAGTTAACCATCCTATTATTAGTATTATTTACTTATTTTCTTCCGCCATAATTCGCCATTAAAATTATACAGTAGTGATGTGAATCACACTGTATTGTCATGCGGATATTTTTATCACCTAATATATTTTTTTTTAATTAGTAAAATTGACAGTAAAATTGACGAGTTTTGCTGTTTTTTTTTTTTTTTGACTCTTTTGTCTGCCTTTTTTTTGGTGCCTTTTGTTTTCGTTTTTTGTTGTTTTTTTATTGTAGATTTTTTTGTATTTTTTGTTGTCAGTTTTTCATAGCCACCTTTGTCACCTTTTGCCCTTTTTTTTTTCTCGTCTTTTTTCTCCACATTTGTTGTGCACCTTTTTTTGGCGCCTTTCTGTTACCCGTATTTTTGTCGCTGTTGTTCGTGCCTTTTTTTAACACTGTTTTTTCCGATTTTTTTTTTATTCTCCCTTTTTCGTTTTTTTTTTACCTCCTTTATTTTCGTTTTTTCCCTCCCTTTTTCGCTTTTTTTGTTTCCGTATTTTCACTTCTTTCTTGTTGCGTTTGTTACTTACCCTTTTTTTTTTTATTCTTTTGTTCCTCCTTTTCGCCTTTATTTTGTCGCTTTTGTTATTCGCCCGTTTTTGTTGCCTTTTTAATTTGTTAATTATTCATATTTTAGTCACCTTCTTTTGTTGCTTTATTCCGTAATTTTTATTCGCTTTTCTTTTTTCCGCTTTTTTTTGTTCTGTCTTTTTAGCCTTTTTCGTCATTTTACCTTTTTTTATCTCCCTTTTTATCGCATCTTGCTTGTCGCGTTGGTTCCTTCTCTTTTTAATTTTTGTTATTTCTTTTTTTTCAATTTTTTTACCCGTTTGTCGCTTTTTGTTTTTTTTTATCAATTTGTTGCTTTTGTTGGGGAATGTTTATTATTGTCTTTTTTCTTGCCTTTTTTTCGTTTTTTTTAGTCTGTCTTTTTTTGCCTTTTTGTCTCCCTCTTTTGCCTCTTTATCGCGTTTGTGCTTGTTTGTCATGTTTTATTATTGTTTTTTCTTATCGCTTTTTATAGTATTTTTGACACCGTTTTTGTTATTGTTTCCCGCTTTTGTCACCTTTTTTTCGTTTTTTGTCTTTGTTTTTTTTTGTCTTCTTTCTTTTCGCCTCTTTTGATGCGTTTGTTCCTTCCACTTTTTTTGAAAAGCTACTTTTATAATTTTTCAAAGAATCTGTATAATATTTGCCTGTATTTCAAGTTCTGTTAAAATATCAGTTTTTGTCTTTTTAATTGCTTTTTTCCAATTTTGGCTTTTTAAACGCTTTTTGTACTTTTTTGTTTTTTTATCGTAATTTTGTCGTTTTTGTTGTTTTTTTTTTGGGTGTTATTATTCACTTTTTTTTTGTGGGCTTTTTTGTTCCTCGTATTTTTGACACATTTTTTGTTCCTTTGTTTTCTTTTTTTTTTTTGTTTTTTTTTTGGCCATTTCTGCCTCTTTTTTCGCATTTTGCTTTTTTTGTTTCCCATTTTCACTTTTTTTTTTTTGCTTTTAGAAATATTTTTTTATATTTTTGTGATCTTTTATCATCATTTTTGTCGCATTTGTTAGTCTTCCTTTTTCTGTCATGTTTTGTTGCTTTTTTCCCTCTTTTTTAGTCGCTTTTTATCCTCTTCTTTTTATCATCGTATTTTTTCCCTCGCTTTTCTTTCTCACCTTCTTTGCGCCTTTTTTTCCCCCTTTTTCGTGTTTTCGTTAGTCGCTTTGTTGTCATCATTTTTGTCGCTTTTGTTGGTGACACTTTATTATTGCCCTTTTTGCTTTTTTTGCCTTTTTTTACCCAACTTTTTCGCCTTCTTTCCTTTTCTCCTCTTTTTTTTTTTTTTGATTGTTTTGTCTTTTTTGACGCCTTTTTGTTACTGGTATTTTTAACAATTTTTTTGGGTTTTCTTTCTCACTTTTTTCCGTTTTCTTTGTTCTCCTTTTTCGTTTTTTTGGTCTACCTTTTTTCTCTCGTTTTTTGCCTTTTTGTGTCTCTTTTTTTGTCTCGTTATTGCGTTTGTTCTTATTTTTTATATTTTTTTTCTTATCGCGTTTTATAGTGTTTCTGACGCCTTTTTTTCATTTTTTCTCGCTTTTGTCACCCTTTTTTTTTCGTTTTTTTTTTGTTTTTTTTTTCTTTTCGCCTCTCTTGTTGCGTTTGTTCCTTTCACTTTTTTTGAAAATCTACTTTTATAATTTTTCAAAGAATCTGTCTTTCAAGTTCTGTTAAAATATCGATTTTTGTCTTTTTAATTGTTTTTTCTAATTTTCGCCTTTTTTAAAACGCTTTTTTGTTTTTTTTTTTGTTTTTTCGCCATTTATGTCCTTCTTATTGGACATCTTTTTTTATTCGCTTTTTTTTGACGGTTTTTTGTTACTCGTATTTTTTGACACCTTTTTTTTTAGTTTTTCTTTTTCTTTTTTTGCCTCTCTTTTTTTGCTTTTTGTAGTAATTTTTGGTACTTTTGTAATTTTTTATCATCGTTTTTGTTGTGTTTTGTTGCTTTTTTCCTTTTTCGTCACTTTTTATCGTCTTCTTTGATGCCTTTTTATCATTGTATTTTGTTTGCGACCTTTTTTGGTTATTTTTTCCCTTGCTTTTTTCTTTCTCGCCTTTTTTCCGCCTTTTGTTCCCCCTTTTTTCGTGTTTTTATCGCATCTTGCTTATCGCGTTGGTTCCTTCTCTTTTTTTTTTATTCCTTTTTTCACTTTTACCCGTTTGTCGCTTTTTGTTTTTTTATCATTATTTTTGTCGCTTTTGTTAGTGACACTACTATTGCTTTTTTTCTCATTTTTCTCACTTGTCCTTTTTGTTTTTTTTTTTGTCTTTTTTTACTAAACTTTTTCGCTTTCTTTTCTTTTGCTCCCTCATTTTTTTTTTCGTTTTTTTTTGCCTTTTTTTTTGTCACTATTTTTTTCTCTTGTGTTTGTCGCGTTTGTTGCGCCCTTCTTTTTCTTTTTTTTTTTTGTCTCCGTTTTTCACTTTTTTTGTCGTTTTTTGATACTTTTTCGTTTTTTTCATCGTCATTTTTGGCACATATTTAAGATCGCCTTGCTGATTACCCTTGATTACCCTTTTTTTTTGACGCCTTGTTATTACTGGTATTTTTAACAATTTCATTGGCTATTCTTTCTCACTTTTTTCCGCTTTTTTTGTTCCCCTTTTTCGTTTTTTTGGTCTGCTTTTTTTTCTATCCTTTTTTGCCTTTTTGTCTTTTTTTTGCCTCTTTATCGCGTTTGTTCTTATTTTTTTTCATCTTTTTTATTGTTTTTTCTTATCGCTTTTTATAATAATTTTGACAGCATATTTTCTGTGTTTTTTTTTCGTGATTCTTTCTTTTCGCCTCTCTTGTTGCGTTTGTTCTTTCTAGTTTTTTTTGAAAATCTACTTTTATAATGTTTCAAAGAATCTGTATTTGTTTGCCTCTATTTCAAATTCTGTTAAAATATCGATTTTTGTCTTTTTAATTGCTTTTTTTAATTTTCGCCTTTTTTAAACTTTTTGTACTTTTTTTTTATAGCCATTTTTGTCGTTCTTATTGGACATCTTTTTTTTATTCGCTTTTTTGACGGCTTTTTGTTACTCGTATTTTTGACGCCTTTTTTTTTTCGATTTTCTGTTTCTTTTTTGCCTCTCTTTTTTCACAATTTGCCTCTCTTTTTCGCATTTTGCCTTTGTTACCTCCCATTTTCACTTTTGTTTTGCTTTTTTTATCATCATTTTTGTCGCTTTTGTTAGTCTTCCTTTTTTTGTCGTGTTTTGTTGCTTTTTTTCCTCCTTTTCGTCGCTTTTTATCGTTTTCTTTGATGCCTTTTTATCATCGTATTTTTTTGCCACCTTTTTTGGTTATTTTTTCCCTCGCTTTTTTCCTCACCTATTTTCCCCGTTTTGTTCCCCGTTTTTCGTGTTTTTTTCGCCTTTTTTTCGTTCACTCTCCGGTTTTTTTTTTATCTTTTTTTTTGGCTACTTTTTATTTTTTACCTTTTTTGTCTCCTTTTTTGTTGCATTTGTCCCTTCCACTTTTTTTTTTTACTTTACGTTTATAATTTTTCGCAGGTGGAAGTTTTCTCAAAATACCGTTTGTTCCTTTTTTATGCCCTATTTTCATTTTTCTCTTTTTTTTAACGCTATTTGAACTTCTTTTGGTTTTTTATTGTAATTCTTTGGGCGCTTCATTTTAGTCTATTTTTAGCGCCTTTTTTGTATTTTTTTTTTTTGTTTTTTCACGTCATTTTTGTTATTTTTTGTTGTAATAAATTTTGACATTAATTAAATATCACTGTTAAGCGTGTCCGTTTTGACAACAGGAAGTAAGGTAAAGTGACAGGTTTACCAAAATTTCAAGCAAAATTCATTGATACTAACCAACTGAAACGACATTTACTGACCCCGGTGTAAAAATAAAATAATAAACAGAATAAGATGGTGTAATAAAATACATCTAACTTAATAGAAATATTATTTATTAATACATACTTTATAAAAATAAAAAAAAATACAATTTTATCCTGATTTCCCGATTTATTAAGTTTGTTTTTACAAATAAAAACATCCATCATTATTATCATTAAACTAAATACTAAAATCGGGATTTGGTTCCTCCAGATTCATCATAATCAAACGCATAATATACGTATTTTTTATCCAAATGTTAGGAAAGCCACAGCAAGGTAATCCGCACCCTTTTATGATAATGCGCAGGCGCACTATCCTGTTAGAGACATAAATTTTGTCGCATTTCCAATCTTTTAGAAACGCTCGGTTTTCAAGAATTTTCCTTTTTTGCAGTGGGCTTCAGACGTCGCTTGCCACATGTTCACCCTTTATAATGACGAAGTCGCGAGGCGGAAAGATTTCCAAGCTCAAATCGATGGTCACTTTCTCAGTTCTCTCTTCCCCGGCATGGACGATGTTCCTCCAAATTTTGCCACTCAAGCGCCATCTATGTTCGATTCGGGCTTGCCAAAACTCTCCGAAGAGGACATTCATGGGTTGAAAGAAACGTTGCCGGACATGGCTGACTATTTACACATACCTGATACATCAGCAGTCACGAATTATTTTATGCTGAAAGACGCGAAAGAAGATCTAGATAAGAATGTAGATAAGACGGTGGAAGATAAATTGATTGAAGTCGTCGCCGAAGCTGGGTTGAGTAGCAATTTAGACCAAAATATATTGAAGGCGATTGATAACGAGCCTCAGGAGCCTCAACAGACAACGTCGCACGGACTTCCCCATCTGAAAGATCTGGACAGGTGAGGAGGGATAATTTTTATGGGTGGAGTAAAATCCAGTTGTCTGTTCATATTTTAAAGATGCATCACCTGCGTTTAAAAATATCAGAAAATTGCGGTGTTGGTGAACATGTGAACAGACAATATACTAGTATGTTTTTTTTAAATGTTATGTTGTTTAGGGGTTGCGAGTCGGAGACGGACACAGAAGAGTTTGAAAAGGTGGGTCAGAGTCCTTTCGACTTACATTTTGATAAAGGAATCCCGTCCCCGCGGCCCGGCACTCAAGACGCCTCCACTTTAACCGAGGTTGGTGAACGAACTCCTCTACCGCCCAAAAAACCTCCCCGTACCTTCCAAAAGCCCCACATCCAAACCCAAGACGACGTCGCCCCCACCACCCTCACCACCACCAACAATACCGCCCTAATCAACTCCTCCCTCCAACGTACTCTGAGCATCAGCGGCAGCCAGAGCAACACCGAAAGCTTCACTAACCTCAAAAATCCCTCTCTCGAGTCGATAGACGAGCTGTCGTCACTGAAAAACTTCAGTTCGAACACGGAGAGTTGTTTCAATTCGCATCACCAACAGATGCAGGGCTATAATTCGACACTTGTATTTCGATCCAAATCGATCTCCCCTCACACACCGCAAAGCCCAAAAGATATCCAAGGAGAATCACCCAATTCACCTGTTATGGGCCACCAACAAAACGATTTCGTTAACGATGAGTTTTACATTGACGAAAGCCTGCCGTCGAGCTTGAGTATCGAAACTGGACAGAGCCAAGGCGAATTCGTTAAGCAGCTCGATACTGCAAATAATGTTGTGGCCTTGTTGCAGGTACTTGAGTCATTGTTGCTAATGTTGCAGTAATCGCATTATTCGTACACTGTTTTTAGTTGGTCCAGATTAATTTTTTGGTTTGCTATTTTTTCGTCGACATTTTTTTTTAATAACGTTTTGGTTTTATGTTGCATGTATCTGTTTATTTTTTTATTATTATTTTAGAAACATGCCCAATCGTTCAAATTTTAGGAATTCAGTAGAGAAATGTATTTGCGTTGCAAAAGAGAATGATTTTTGATTTCGTCGTATATTTTAATACTGTAGATTTAATTTGTTTCCAAGTGTGACAAGCACAACAGAAAACCGTTCCCTTGTTAAAATAAGGACGACATGAGTGTCCAAATTTATCAAAAATAATATTATGAATACTTACAAAAATTCACTTTCAAGAGAGAAATATTTATTAATGAACAGTGCACTGCGAGTGTGTTTCAATATTATTTGAACAACTTAAAATTTTGTGCTTTATTTGCATTGTTATTTTTTATTGTGACTGCAACGTATTATTTTAAAGAAAAATTGGCATCTCCTAATTGGAATGTGAATCCATAACCTATAAGATGTTATGCGCATGCGTTGACGTGACTGCGCATGTCCTTATACTACATCCTGGTTAAAAAGTAAGACATTCATTTAGTAAGTTTTTGTTGGTTAATGTATTAGATGACAATATGAACAAATAAATTATAAGAAATACGAATATTAGTAAGTGTTGTTAAACCTTTATTGCAGACTATTTGTCATGGAATTTTATTTCTAATACATAATAGTTTTTTCCATTTAAATATTTTTTTAGGTTCATGATATAATTAAATTAAAAATTATATAACAAAAATCATTACTTGCGATTTTATAAAGGCTATATGTTCCAAAAATGTATTGAAATTTCTGACATATCCGTTTAAAATGTTTAGCTTTTATTAATTACGGCTCCACCTTGGGTCTATTTCTAACTCTCGGCTTCGCCTCGAATTTATTTGCGACGTTAACTCGGATGCCAAACATGTTTTCTTAAAGAAAGTATTTATGTTAGTAACAATCCTTGAGTTCTTTTCATATAGAGATCCCCACTTTTTGTTACTTCGCTTCTATTAACCGTCTAATATACAGGGTGATTCAAAGCCAGAATTGTACGGTTCTTTGAGGACTACTTTAAAATGATTTTTAACTATACAGAGTGTTTTGTTTTAAGGCGTAATACCCAACTTATTTTTTTTTTTTTAAGAAACATCCTATATATTTTGATTAGTCTCTTTTCAGGTTTTACGACTCCAGTTTATTTTGAAATATCGATACGCCGCTGCCACGTTATTCCAAATTTCTTGAAATTTTTACTTGCACAGTATTACTGCACCTTGTTCTATTTTTTTCTCTTTCTTTTTTATTAAATATTTTCTAATTTTAAAGTTGATAGTTACTGCAATTTTTTTACTTTAAGAGACACATCGACGTATTAGAAGAATCGGAACAAAAATACGGGAAAATACAGTAGTAAAACACTGAAAGAACCAAAATATTGATATTTGAAAATTGGTAAGATTTAAAAAGCACCCTGTATATTAAAATTTGATGCAATTGATACCACAACAAAGCGCGTACCTTTATTTATCCATTCACAAAATATTGTAAAAATATATAGGGTGTTTCATTAAAAAAAGAGTTAAAAACAGAACACTTTAAAGTTAAAAATAATTTTACAGTATAGTCCTTGAAGTACAACTGTGATTTTTGACTTTTTGTTGTATCTTTAATAATTAATAAAATATGGAGCCCCGCGTTCTCGGTAACTCACCCTGTATATTTCTTTCCAAATTTCAATGCATATACAAGGTGTTTACTAAACCTGCGGCAAAAATTCAGGAATTGTTCCTTGGATTATTTTAAGATTTCTTTTGACTTTGCATGATTTTCGGAAACACGGTTTGTTTCGAAGATATGAGGCGATAAAAATAAATAAAAATCTCATGGACATCTTTGATTTTTATTTATTATTGGGCTATTTGAAAACATTTGTGTACTTTCACTACTTCAGTAGAAAATTAGAGATTTTTGAGAAATTTTTTAAAGCTTATATCGCCCTGTATCTTCGAAACAAATCGTCTTTCAGAAAATCATCCGAAGACAAAAAAATCTTAAAATGACTCAAGGAATAACCCCCTGAATTTTTGCAGCATGTTTATTAAACACCCTGTGTATACAAGGTGAGTCACTTGGCACGCACTCTTCGATATCTCATTCATTATTAGAAATAGAAAAAACCCAAGGCCAAAATTGTACAGTTTTTGACGACCGCATGCCAACCATATTTTCAAATATACGGGGTGTTCTGACTTTAAGGTGTAACACACAATTTGTTTTTTCAAGTGGAAAACCCTATGTATTTTTATATATTTTGATTAACCTTTTACACTTTATAATTTTAGAAATTCCGATGCAACGTTGCCAATTGTCTAGATTTTTTTTAGCAACGGAAGGGTTCATGAAAAAAAACGCAATAGGTTTATTTTTTTCATCTAGGTTACAATGTTTTGTGAAAAGATAAATAAACACACGCTTTATTACGTTATAAATAAAATTATATACAGAGTGTTCATAAAAAATTACAACAGTTTTCAAATAACGATGTTTCAATTTTTCAAATAGAACATTTGTTTATCTACTAAAGTTGGTAGTTCTTGAGATTTTTTGCTTTTTTAAGGAACACATTGACATATTGAAAGAAAGAGAAAAAAATGAAATATCGGTATTGTCTTTTTTTTAGAAGTACGTGTATTAAAATTTTATTTGATTGATACACAAAACACGTTTATCTCGTCATAAAATATTGCAACACTAATCTTAAAAATAACATGGCAACGTTGCATCTGAATTTCACAAATCAAGAATATATAGGGTGTTTCATTAAAACAATCTCTTTCATATTATCTCTATATTTTGATAACCTTCTTTATTTATTTATTTTTCCTTGTGTAGCACTTTATACTGTATTATGTACCGGGTGTTCCGATTTCACTGTAATACTTTATTTGTTTGAAAAGTTTCGTCTAAACTGTTATTTGACACAAGAAAAAGTATAAGATGATAGTAGGATTACATCACTTTCGATTTTATCAGAAATGCCATCAACTTCGTCCGTTCAAATAAACCTTGCTAAGATAGAACTGAACAATATTACGAGTAATCACTGGAATGAAGAAAGAGTGGGTGGGACGGGTTTTTGCTTATTTATAAAAGACTGTAAGAAAAAGTGAAATTTATCCCCGCCCACCCACCCGTTCTCATTTTTTTTTCTTTCGATATAAGAAATAAATTTGATGGCAAATAGTATATCAATAAAATTAGGATTCTCTCGATTTCAGTGATTCATTCTATCTAGTCCAAATGAAAGGTGTATCTCAACTGAACAGAGATACAATCGTTAGAATGAGAGTAAACTGTGTGGGCGGGGCTAGTACTTGCTAAAATAAGACTAATTGTGGCAAATGACATCCCTTTTAAGAAAATATAGGGTGGCTTGGCGGGGTTAGTACTTGATAAGATAATACTGATTTTGGCAAATGACATATGCTCTAAGAAAATAAAGGGTGGGTGGGTGGGGTTAAAATTTGCTCTGATATAACTGAAGAATATTAAGAGTATTCATTGAAATGAAGAAGGGGTGGGTGGGCGGTACTACCGTTTGCTCATAAAACTAGAAACAAGCTAAACTTAGGTCCGCTCACCTAGGATCTCCATTTACTCACTTTTTACTCCCAGTTCTTCGGCCGACGCTCTACTTTTACGTTTTTTCGACCTTTTATGACCCCTAGAGTTCGAAGAAATCGGTCTCTCGTTTCCATGTGTCTGTCTCTCTGCCGTCTGTTCGAATTTTTATTAGGCACATAATCTCCCTAACTACTGGACCGATTGTTGTCAAATTCAGTTATTTTTCTTTGCCTTTTAGTGGTAATACTGACACGATATAAACCAAAATTGTCTGTTTTCCAGATTAATAAATGTATAGGGTGTTTCATTAAAAGAAATTTTCATATTATGTCTGTAACTTGTCCATCTTCTTTATTTATTTTTTCTTTCATAGCACTTTATGCTTTATACTCTATATGTACCGAGTGTTCCGATTTCACTCTAATGTGTACTTTCGTTGTTTATAAGGTTCGTCTAAACAGTTATTTGACAAAAAAAAAAGTATAAAATGGTAATCAGAAATGCCATCAACTTCTTTTGTTCCAATACAGTGGAATGGAGAGATGCCTCAAGTTTAGTTACTTTTCTTTGTCTTTTAGTGGTAATATTGACACGATAAAACCTAAAATTGTCACTTTTGTATATTATTTTTTTATATTTTTTTAGTACATTCTTGTTAACGAATTTTTTTAAGTTTATTCTCCGAATTTTATTTAATCCCTTGTATTTGTGTGTTTTTTGTGGATTACTGTTATAATAAATAGTGAAAAAAAAAACACTACTTTTGTTAAAAATATATTTACGAATATGTTCTCAAATTTGTTTACAGTTGTTGTTTAAATCTAAAATTTAAGGGCGTTTATACAAATTTAAATATGTTTTTTGTTATTTTGGAAAGCAGAATGGCTTCACGGATATAACTTAAGTCACTTTTCTAAATCAGGGGGGTATTCTAATTTGACATCAAAATTTGGGAAAAAGTACTCGGTATTTATTTAACAGAGCGTTAAATTGGTAACTACTACATCTATGCTTAAAATATTGTCGAGTAAAACAGTTTTAAATAAAAGATAGAAAATCTAGAAAAGTTGCATTAACAAACGAAATAAAATGAAGAGATTTTTTTTAATGTAAATAAATACAATTTTTTAATTATACCCTCTTTGCACGAATAGATACGAATTGTGCAGCAGTAACATTTTCGATTAAATTGGAATTTAAAATCATTTTATGTCAACGAACGGAGCAAAATACAGCAGAAACTTGCTCGGAATGTTGGAATTTTTTCGCCGAGTTGCATGGTAACAGAGTTCAAAGCATTGTTGCAAAAGAGTTTTTAAACCCATTCGAATATTTTGTCGTAATAAATTCAACGTTATTGCATTTAGGAACTAACCTTTCAAAAAAAGAGTAGTCCCATTCAAACTGTAAAAGCTGTCTGAAATTGCTACGAACGGCATCTTTTTACCAAATTTATTTCGCACACAGGTAGTAGTTTTGGAGTAATAGGGTAATTCGAAGTGAATTACCTTTTGTTTAATACTTTGGGAAAAGTGCAGTTTAAAAATAAACTCAATATGCAAATTGTTAGCACCGCTTTGTGAATAATTGACGATGACAGAAAATATTAACCAGTCGTTAATTTCAGTATGTTGACCTTACAGGTCCATCGCATAATGAATAGAACACGAAACATTGAACTTCTGGCAAGGTTATTTTGCAACACTTGACATAAATCAGAAATCGCCCAACGACAATCAAATTTTATTTGTTAATAAAAACCGCACTTGGAAACTCATTGTTAGTACAGTCGAATCATTCTCATTTGCAAAAAGTATTTTCATTTCTTAGAACTTAGCAAGTTGGTGGTCCAAAATTAATCCCCGAACGTTCCCGCCTTCATGATGCATGTCCCTTGTTACACCCAACCCTCATTAGTGTCGCTTAACTCTAGAAGTTTGTATTAATTTTAGGATAATTTGCAAATCTCGAGGTCGGAATACGAGAAGTTGAGGACAGTTCTTATTAAGTTAGCGCAAGTCGGACGGCAGTTTAATAGTCAGCTTAGATCAGAGCTGGCCGAAACGAAAAACCAAATCTTACAAGGAAAAGTATTACTGGAGGAAGCTTGCGGGATTTTGAACACGGATATCAATAACACTATCGTTGAAAAAGAGAACAGGCAGCGTGAAGTAATCCAACGACTAACTGTTGATCACGAATTAGAAATTAGCGACTTTAGAAAAATAGCTCAATCTAAGAACGAAGAAATTAAGAGTTTGCGTGACGAGAACGCGACGTTAAATACCGAATTGAAAAAAGCGACGGAGGCGAATAACGAATTACAGCGGAAGATGGAGGAGATGAGTGATCAGAGTTCCAAAGACATGGACGATTTGAGGAGGAGAGTAGACGAATTGATGGTGGACAGAGAAAAGAGTATTAAAGATTTGACTGAAAGGCTTAAAAGTGAGCACAAAAGTGAGCTGGAGAGTATTAGAGCACGGTTTAAATTGATGACTATGGAACGAAGTCCGTCGGAGAACAGTCTGGAGAAAATCGAACGAGGAGATTATTCTAGTATTACTAACCACGAAGCGCTTTTGTTACAAATGACGGAGAATTTTGAATCGGAGAAAGAAGTGGCTGTGAGTGACGCGATCAGTAAAGAGAGTCAGAAATGGCAGAAGATCTTGGACGATCGAGTCAAACAACTGGAAAACGAGTTCCAGCAACAGAGGGTGTTCCTCATACAAGATATACAAACTAGGATACAACAAGACCAAGAAAAACAGATCACTGAGTTACGGGAACAGGTTAATAATTTGAATGTAGAAAGCATAAAACATAAAACAACGATACAACAACTGACCGACTACCGAGGGGATAGTGGCAGTGAATTGATGCAGAGAATTGACAACTTGGAAAGAGACAAAGCGGCTTTGAGAACGGAGTTAGAGAGATATAAGAGTGATACGACGATGGGGGCGTCGGTCGCTGTTTGTGAAGGTATTTACTGGTTTTTTCGGATTTTATTTTCACATATATGGCGCCTTTTCTTTAGGGGCATCCACCACTGACGCGGCGACGAGTCCCGTCAAATTGCGCAAGCGCAGTGAGGTGTCGTCGCCCAAAGCTGGTAAATTAAATATAGAGTCGTGTAAAACTGGCGATATGGTATTGGTAGTGTGGGACCTAGCCCATCAAAATTTCAAAATTTTACAAGAAAGTAGCTCGTTGTACTTCCTCAATGCCGACTGTTTAGAATCTCTGGGACTGAAAGTTGTTGATGGTCAACCAAACAAACTTTACTGTTACGCTGAAGTCGTTGAAAAAGAATACTGCCATGCTAGGAAGGTAAGTTGGGTGTAGGTGATTGTAGGTGATGAGTGGTACCACCACTACGAGTTTTCAGTATTTTTGGTTTAAGGTTTTTATTCGCGGAATTAAATGTTTTGTTTTGTTTTTATTAGTTATCTACCACACATACATTAACTGTACACTCACACAGTTCTCATTCTAATCTGAAGCACAATTTTCTTCTACTCCACTGTGTAACTGATTTTTCTGCCTGAGTATTCGTTTTAATAAAGCATCTCCCCTACTCCAGATTTATCCACATAGTTGGGTTTTCTTTTAACATACTTTCAAACTGAATAATTGGTTTAACAAATCATGAATGTTTAAATTTAATAACTAAATTAAATTAATTAATTAATAATAAAAACGTAATCGTTCGCATCTTAAATTTTGTCTGTAAGAATATCTCACAAAATGACGTCCAAATGTTTCTAAAATTGTTTTCAATATGATTTTTTTTATGAAGATAGTGATATAAATCGTAAAGCACTAAAGGTGACCTCAACATTTGCATAGTAAATATTTTTGAAATTTTATAAAATAACATATTCCTGTACTTGTGGTCTATGAATCCGCGTTGATTTGTATCACACTTGCTTTAGAAAAGTTTTGTGAAATACTTGCCAAGTGCTCTACGTAACCGATGTTTGGCAACGTTTGTGATTAAAGTGCTGAAATGTAAATGTTCTAAATAACGTTAGGCCATTTTTTTTATTATAACGTTTCACAGTTTACAGGAATCGAAAAAGCAAGTTTCTCATTTCCGTTTGACCATGCCTTTAATGATTTGATTATACAAATAATCATCGAAAAAATTGTTGACGACGTCTTAATATACCAAATAAATTACTCTTTGGGCAACATACATCTACGTAGTTTTGTATAACGAATTGTTTCCTCTAAAAAAAATCTGACAGCCAATTTTACAGTTTATCTCACCTATTAGCTAACGAATTTTTTAGATTGGGTAGCACACTACATTAATTAATTTTATTTAATCTTTCCCAGATTATTGTGAAATTCTATGTATACTTTAGAATTAGCTTGTAGGTAGGTAAATATAAAGCATTGACGAAAATTTGTTCATCCTTATGAACAAATTGAGGATTTTGAAATTTCTATAGTGAATTCTATTTAAAATAAATAACAATCATGTATGTGGTTTTATGAAAAAATTCGGAAATTTTAAAACTTCTTGCAAAAATAGAACACTAGGGGCCATAACATTCATTCAAAACCGTTTAAAAATAAAACACTAAAGATTCTAGAGATTCTTTTAAATTCTTTCAAAAAAAACACCAGATTTTGTAATTCTATTAAAAAAAAAGATGTCAGCCCCAAACTTTCTTTTAGAATCTTAAAAATAAAATATCAACGGTTGGAGATTTTTTCAGATTCTATAAAAATATACACTAGAGCATATAATAACATATTTTGGAATCTTTTAAAAATAAAACAGGTGGGCCTAAATTTTTTTTATTTTATAAAAAAAAAGGAATCCAAAACACTTGGAATTCTCAATATTACATTAAAATATAACACCAGATGGACCCAATCTTTGTTAAATCTATAAAAAAGACTCAAGATTTTTTCAAATTCGATAAGAAAAAACACCAGGGACTTTTAATATTCTTTTGAAATTTTTTAAACAAATTTTCAAAATTCTTTCAAAAATAAGATAGCCTCAAATTTTTATACGGAAATAAAATGTCCCTAACATTCTTTAAAAAAAATAAAACACCAGATGGACGCGATTTTTTTTAATCTAAAAAAAGACATCAACAACTCCTACTTTTTTGGAATCTTAAAAATAAGATACTAAGGGCTTTCGAGATTTTTTCAGATTCTATGTATAAAAAAAAGTTACCAAGGGCTTGTAACATCTTTTTTGAACCTTTTTAAAAATAAACCATGGGAATTCTCAAGATTCTTTCAAAAATAAAACACCAGGGGGGCATTCTTCTAATTCTGCAAGAAATACATCAGGAGCTCCTAATTTTTTTAGAATCTTTTAAAAATAAAATACCAAGTATACTTGAGATGATTAAAAATTCTATAAAAAAAAAACCTCTAGCGACTCTTAACATTCTTTTGGAAGCTTTTAAAAATAAAATTCTTATAACTTTTTTTTAGAATCTTTTAAAATGAAGTACCAACAGTTCCCGATATTTTTTCAAATTCTATTGAAAAAACACCAGCGACTCCTATGTATTCAATTGGAATGTTTTGAAAGTAAAACACTAGAGATTCTCAAGATTCTTTCAAAAAACAGAGTACCAGAGCCCCCTAAAATTCGTTTAAATTTTTCAAAAATAAAACACCATGTGGACCCTTAGAGCTTTCGAGATTGTTACAGATTCTATAAAAAGTGACGCCAGAGGTATCCTAACATTTTTTTTTTGGAACCTTTTAAAATAAAATACCAAGAAGGGCATTTTTCAAAATTCTTTCAAAATTAAAACAGCTCCAAATCTTTATAATAAAATAAAATGACCCCAACACTCTTTAAATTCTTTAAAAAAATAAAACACCAGATGGACCCATTTTTTCTTAAACCTAAAAAAAAGACATCAATAGCTCCTACTTAATGTTTTCTGGAATCTTAAAAATAAAATACTAAAGCCTTTCGAGATTTTTTCAGATTGTGTGTATAAAAAAAAGATTCAAAGGGCTCCTAACATCTTTTTTGGACCTTTTAAAAATAAAACACTGGGAATTCTCAAGATTCTTTCAAAAATAAAACACCAGAGGGTCATGTTTTTTTAATTCTATAAGAAATACACCAGGAGCTCATACTTTTCTTTTAGAATCTTTTAAAAATAAAATACCAAATATACCCATGATTTTTAAAAATTCTATAAAAAACACTTTACATTCTTTTGGAATGTTTTAAAAATAAAACACTTGAGATTCTTTCAAAAATAAAATGCCAGTGTCCCCTTTAAAAAAATAAAACACCAGATGGACCCATTTTTTTTTTATCTATAAAAAAATTATCAACAGCTCCTCCTTTTTTTGGAATCTTAAAGATAAAGTACTAAAGGTTTTCGAGATGTTTTCAGATTCTATGTATAAAAGAAAGGTACCAAGGGCTCCTAATATCTTTTTTGAACCTTCTTAAAAATAAAACACTGGGAATTCTTAAAATTCTTTCAAAAATAAAACACCAGTGGGGTATTTTTTTTAATGATATAAGAAATACATCAGGAGTTCCTAATTGTCTTTTAAAATCTTTTAAAAAGAAAATACCAAGTATCCCTGAGATTTTTTCAAATTCTAAAAAAAAACTAGCGATTCTTGACATTCTTTTAGAATCTTTTAAAAGTAAAACACTTGATTTTCTCAAGATTCTTTCAAAAACAAAATGGCAAGATTCATTAAATTCTTTCAAAAATCAAACACCAGGAGGTTCATTTTTTTTGTCGTAATTTATAAAAAAGACATGCTCCTAACATTTTTTCAGGATATTAAAAATGAAATTCCAAGGATGCCCATGATTTTTTCATGTTCTATTTAAAAAACACCATCGACTCGAAATAGTCAATTGGAATCTGGAATCATTTAAAACTGAGCTTCTCAAGATTAAAAAAAAAACGAAATACCATTGTGTCCTAAAATTCTTTTAAATTCTTAGAAAATAAAACAGCTCCAAAGTCTTAGCAATAAAATAAAACGCTCTCAGGACTCTTTTAAAATTCTTTCAAAAATGAAACACCGGGTGGACCCATTTTTCTTAATTCTATAAAAAAAAAAATTAGCAACTTTTAATATCTTTTTTTTTAATCTTTTAAAAATAGAATATAAAGGGCTCTCGAGATTTTTTTCAGACTCTATAAACCTTTTAAAAATAAAACACTAGGGATTCTCAAGATTCTTTAAATTCTTAAAAAAATAAGACACCAGGAGCTCGTAATTTTCTTTTAAAATCTTAAAAATAAAATACGAATTACCCCCGAGATTCTTTAAATTCTGTAAAAACAAAACCCCCAGCGACTCCTAACACTACTTTGCAATTTTTTTTAAATAAAACCCTTGAGATTTCCAAAATTCTTTCTGAAACAAAATGACAAAGTCCCCAAGATTCTTTAAATTCTTGCAAAGATAAAATACCAGGGGGGGCATTTTTTTTTATTTTATAAAAAATGGATATCAGGAGTTCCTAACTTTCAGAATATTTTTAAAATGAAGTACCAAGTGCTCCCGAGATTTTTTAAATTCAATAAAAAAAACACCACCGGCTTCTAACGGTCTATTGGAATCTTTTAAAAATAAAACAGTAGAGATTCTTAAGATTATTTAAAATTCCGTCAAAAACAGGACCAGGGTTCTCATTTTTTTTTATTTTAATTTTTCAAAATAAAAACTCCCAAGTTTTAGTAATAAAATAAAACGCTCGCAAGACTTACGATTCAAAATTAATTTTTTATTTCCATTAAAAATGACCTGGTAAAAAAGATTGAATTAAATTTTGTTAGGGATTGGTTGTTTAACAGGCGAGGAAAGTTCTATTAAATCACAGTTTTTTTTATGTATGTATCAAAATAAAATTTTTCCCACACTTTTTTGTAGACAGAATTTTTCTCGCCTCTGAATCTTACTAACAAATCAACTCAGTTTCTTCGATAAATTATAAAATTTGATTGTAGGCATTTTTTTTTAGTGATAAACGATGTTAAAATAAAAATAGGTATGGATTTTTAAACTAACCACAAATAGAGAAGGCCAAATCTCTAAAGTAAAACATAAAATTTAAATAAGATTAACATAATTAATAAAATAATAATTTTGCGATGATGTTATCAAATTGTTTATAGGAAAGACCACAGAAATTTTGGTTAATGTTTTACCGTTTACACGATATTCCTAAAACACACCTAAACTTTAATAATAATCGATCCCCTAATTTCGGAGATAATCTGCTAATAAAACCGTTGACAGAAAAGGCAAGCGAAAACGGCAGACCTACTTTTTCATACTCTTGGAGCTTTGAAACGTTGAAACAGCTTGTGCTCGGGAAATAAAAAAATTAATAAATTCGATCGACAACAATTTCTTCAAATGGGTATAAGTTGAATCATGTTCAGTGACAATTTTATGTGAGAGTGAAAGTTTTTGTCAATGCCGGTAGAACTGTCATTTAATTAAACACACCTTTTTGCCTTGTTAGTGTACAGTTGACTTAAGAAATCAAATTTACTGCAAACTCTGAAATGTATGTAGCTTCTTGGACGAAATTGATGCATGCGTGAACCTTATAGAAACACTAACTTTAAATTTCAGGGTCGTGGCTTACTAACCCATGTCAGTCATGCTTTCTTTTATTGAAAAAAAACCTTTCGACTTCTTTTCTAGGATGAAAACTATAGTGTCGTTTTTCAGCCTGTCAACCGATTCAGGGTGCCTCAAGGCACGAAATTTTTCCGCGTCAAAGTGAGACCGCCCCCTCCACCGAAAGAAGTCGTCCTGTCAATGCCGGCGGGACGCGTCTATCAATCCTCAGCAAGTGCATTACCGTCGAGCCACATGTCGCAGAGTCAGACGACGACGAGTTCGCACGTGGCTGACGTCATCGCCTCGTCGGGTCCATCACACTCTCTGCCTTCCAGCCCCTCGCGGAGCAACTGGGAGAAGTCGGAGTCGCAGGAGGCGACGATACCCGAAGAGAAGGGCGAAGACTCGGCGAGCGGGCCGAGGAACGACGAAGAGATCGAGAAGGGAACGGAATTGACGGAGAATTTCAATGTTGATAATCAGTCCAGTATTGATCGGTAGGTCTCGTTGGCTACTAGTTAATTTTTCAATATGATAGTTTAATTTGAAGCAGTTTATTATAGTTAAGTTGTTCTGATGTACATAGTTCACTTACCGCATATGCTGACGAATTGTGAGATTAAATTCGACTTGTAGTGTGATTTTTTTAAGTCAAAATTTGGAGAGTCGTAAGCAGGGAACTTTCAATCGATTTCGTTCGAGTTCGAATCACGGTAAAATGTTCCTTACTTTATTCGCAAAAACATCGTAGAAGGTTAGAGGTTTAAGTTAAAAGCAGAAATTATATATAACGAGTTAAAGTAGAAACGGGAGGTGTGCAACGTAAAATACACGTGGTGTTCGGACGTGTTTGTTACGTTGCGTCGTACCGTCACCGTAACGTAGGTTTTACCGACCGAGTTTGTAAATAGGCTGTATTTCTTGCAGATCACAAATTTGTGTAGTAGTATAGTAGTCCGAGGTACTTCGTAGGTGGTAGGTAAGGTAAAAACGAGTGGCTTTTAATGTGTCCTCAATCTCAGTGCATCGATGTACTGATGCATCGTCACCTAATTCTAATTAATCTAGTTACAGTGTAAAGTTATTTTACTAACAGTCATTTAGAACTAACAGTATCCAAAATTTCATCACATCATTGGTTTAATTTCAGTTTGGATTATTGCAGGATTGAAGAGATTAGCTGCTTACCGCTCTCCTCTCAAAAGTAAGAATTTTCCTTAATTTGTGTTAATCTTAATCAAGAATTACTTTATGTGATATTTTAATATTGTAAATAAAACATTAGTCCATCACAACTATATATGTGATTCTGTGGTTGTTTTAAGTAAACAAATGGGTATTGGTTCAGGTTACCGTTGTATGTTTGTAAGAATTTCCTTTTGGATTATATTCGGAAACAAAAATGTATTGTTGACAGAATAGTTATTTTATTCTTACTCCATTGGTTCACTTACATTTCCACGTTTTCTACATAATAAAATAAATATTCTGTCGTTGTATTATGGCCTTACGGATTTTTGAATCAAAATACTAGATATTACTTTCAAACATAGAACATAGTCTAGTTTTGATATTTATAAATAATTTATTTAACCATATATCCCATCTCACTACTTTTTAAAATTTCAATCGCATAAATTTAGACTAAGTACCTACTAGAAGGTTATTGCAATCAGAAATTATTGTGCCCATTTCTTTTCGTTTTTATTACCTATTAGTGTTTCGATTGTTTTAGTTTTACTTATTTCGTGGTGTGATAAGCGCAAGGACGAGTATTGATTGACATTCTTTACCTTAGTTGAGTAAATTTGGAAAATGATTACTATTTCGTTTCGACTTAGAATTTCGTTCATAAATTAGAATAGTGTATGTGTTTTTTAAGCTTGCAAGTGAGTTTCTGAACATTAGTAAAATTAACGTAATATTTACAAATTTTTTATAAGGAACGCAGTGTGCAATAAAGATATCCAAAATTATTTTTTTGTTTTAATACAACCCACCTTCTGTTTGATACTACTTCAATAGTATTTTTTTTAACATAATTTCGACGACGAACACTAGCCCACAGGTCTTAAATTGTTATTTGAATAAAGTTTGATTAATCGGGCTTTTATCCCAGTACTCAACTTTGGTAAATTGGTTCATACAAAAAATCGCAAACTTAACCAGTTTTTACCATTATAACTGGCTTGCGATTTGGTATAGTGTACCAAGGAATTTAGTGGTTTTACGACTTTGCGTCCGTCACTACTTCAACTAACTTATTAGACGCAAATTTGTGATATCATCCCAAACCTGAATAGCCGCTATTTGTTGCATTTGGCTGATACGATTTTCGTAAACTAAGGGCTTGGAAGTCAAAATCACTGTATCGCTCGACACACTACTACCCTCAAGGACCTACGAGACAAGTGTCAGCTTTCTTGTTGATGATTAAATAAGCCTGGATTAGATTCTAAAATTTACATATTCACAACTCTCAGAATGTAGTAAAGATCTTGTGAGTGTCTTATAAACTTGAAACATTTCGCGCTAATCAATTTTTTTTATGTTTACACAAAATATCGCATATCAAGTTGCCTTTGGAAAATTTGTCACGGTAAAGAAGAATTTGCCGCTTGCATGAAATGACAAGCAAAATTTATCACCCAGCCTGAATTATTGGTTGCCTACATCTTATAAAACAAACATTGAAAAAAAGGCCATGGAATCTTCGAAATCTATGAAGAAAATTTGGCTGTCATAGAAATTAGTAAACTGTTGAATCCAACTGACATTTTAACAAGCAATGACATTGTTCACTGTTGACGTTATTTAGTTGTCAATTCGCGCGCCATCTTTTAGATTATTTACCTTCTTTTGAAAGTTATACCAATTTTAATAAAAATAGTTAAAACTGTGACTGGAAAAAGCAAAAATACTTTAATTTTACAATGTTAACGGGCCATAGAACTTACCTGTGATACTGTGAAATGTTTCATAGCCTAATTAATAACATAGGTACATAATATCATATGTATGTAATTAGAAAAAACAAAATATAAAAACTTACGGGAATAAAAGAAAGAAAATTTAAAGTTGTTAAAAAAAAAAAATGAAAACCTATCCTATGTTTTAAAAACCAATAAAACACTTTAAACGTCACACAAAACTGATTGGGTTTGGTTTATGATCTGCCTAGTGGTGACCGAATTTGAATTAAAGTTTCGAGCTGAAATTAATTAACAGCGTCGCGAAATCACATTTGAATTGAATTTGAAAAAAATCGTTAAACATAGGCAACCACGTACACGTTAGCGCTTTTTGGGTAGTTGGTAGTCCTGCTGGAGATTTTAGTTAGAGGGTTGGTTGCTCACTGTTTTCATGAGATTCAGGTAGTCAGGATAACACCCTTTGTTTACAAAGTTACGAATAACGTTTCTAGATGCTAATACTCAAGTGTTACATTATAACACTTCTTAATTCTTCACACAAAATTGACCGCAGTTAAATTAACCTAACGGTGCCCCACTTTGGAAAAAGACCGTAAAATTCATAATATCGTGGACTGCGGGACGGGAGGATTAAAGATATCTCTCCTTGTGCAGTTATCATCGTTATAATCATCGTATCATCATTATATCACCGAGACATTTTATTTCTTGCAACATTGGACAATTACATCACCGAGGAGCTTTTCTCGCAACGCCTGATGGATTTTGTGTTTCTTTATCATGTGTTTTGTTTGGGGTAAACAGTCCACGATATAAAACCTCAAAACGAATTGTTTTAAGTAATCAATCACTTGGATTATGGCATTGTGTAACATCACATAAATTCTTTGTTTGAATCGGTCATAAAGTGTAGCATAATTGAACAGAATGTAAACTATTTGTTTGAATTTTTGAATTTTTCGCGGGGTTTCAACTTTTTTTTCACATGTTAATTTAAGGCGGATGTTTGGATTATCACAGCCTCTAATAGTGATTTATGTACCAAGTGAAACTTATACCCATAGGCGCTAATTGTGCCCGAGGTTCATGCAATGTTTTATGTACGACAGGGAGAATTGAGATGTCTCATTAAACTTTGGCATTTTTCAAAACTTTTGTTATCTTACTAAGTTTAATCTTGGATATAAAATTAAATTAAAGTAAATAACGATGACAACAGCATAAACAAGGGTAGCCATATTGAAGACAATCAGAAAAGTTGTTGCCAATTTATCACAGAAGCATGGCATGATACCTTCCTAATGACTAAGGTAATATGTGTTAATATTGTTAATTGTTTTATTAATAATGTGTATTATTATTTTAGGTTGCATTAATTCTCGCTGTCGCCGGAGCGTGCAGACGAGAGGAATTGACGACGCAAACAGTGGACGACATTGTGAATTTGGGATCTGCACTAATTATAAAAATTCCAAGGAACTAAGACAAAAATTACAAGAAAATTCACAGTTGTAAATAACAGTGAAGATTTTCTCAGAATATACTGCATCAAATACGCTGCACTCCGACCACCGGACCTAAACCATAAGCGGTTTTCGATTTCCTTTAGAAATAGAAGATATTTCAGACAACTTGTGGGTGAAAATAATAATAATAATAATAATAATAAACGTCTTTATTTCAGATACATATACAGTACCTCTCGGAGGCGAAGTTTAGCTTATAGCTATTCTTACACTTAACCTCTTACAAAAATAACCTACAGTTTACACTACAAATATATAACAGAAATTCTAGAAATGAGATAATTATAAGAGAAAAGAAAAATAATGAGATAAAAAAAATTATAAATTTACAGAAGCTTATATGAAAAACAACCACATGATTCATTAATACGTGTATAAGATAATCTAATACGTAACCTAATAGTTTAAGAATTGTTTTTTTTTTAAATAAGATTTGAATAAGGTGGAAAATACATATTTCTTAAATCGGGCAATGGGAAGATCCTTAATGTTACAGTCTACAGCATTACATATCATTATATATTGTAACTAAAACAGCGTTTAAATTTTTTGACAAATCGTCGTGTTTTCTGATATTCGACATAAAGTGATAAATTTTGGATCTTTTGCAGTCTACTTTTATGTATGGGATACAAACAAAGGTGATAAACAGTAATGTTGTAAAATAAAACCGAGAAAATTAATGATTCCGTTAATTTTTTTTTTTTAATTTTGAAGTTTAGGAGAAACCTGGAAGCACATATTTTAACCTTAAGTAGACCGATTTAAATAAGTAAGAAATATGTGATATAAATTGTAAATCATAATCAAAGTGAAATGCCTAATATTCGAGCAGAATCAGTCTAATTTAAGACATTACCAATAAGTTTGACTGTTATTACATTTTTGACCCTTTATTTGAATTATTACGTAGTATCTTTTTTTGAATTTGTTTTGAATCTGTCTTAATCAGGCTTGTGGGAACTGTAACTATATTAGGTGAAAAGTTAGTGACATTGTTTTCAATGTTTAAATTGTTTTTGGTCGGAAATACTTCATCAATATTTACCGTTCTATCTGGTGTCGTTGTTGGCGGAGTACTTTTTGACTTTATAAAAATGCATTTGGACTGCGAAAATAGCCGAATTTCTGAAATTGCCAATTTCTTCTTGTTATGTTGGTCACTGTTTTCGGCGCTCGTGAGTAACGCTTGAAGGTAAGCGAAGAAAAATGTTGCTGTCTCGGTGGGAATCGAACCACACGTTACCCGCTTGTCGGGCAGGTATCCTGACTACTAAACCACGAGGCCGCTTATCTTTATCCGCCTACCAACGTGTTATTGTGCCGCCACACGCTCTTGGCTGATTCGGGTCCGAATATTGCAGATTTGGAGCGACGTGGAGGATGGAAATCCTTAAGTGTGGCAGATTCTCTTCAAAATAAGTTAAACACTACTAAAAAAATCCTTGTCAATGGAGCAGTTACTTCTATGGCATCAGCCCCAATCAACAAAGGAAATACCTCCATGGGATTAGCTTCAACATTGAATTTTTCTGAGCAAAACTTAGTAAACATAGACGTTGAGCAAAAAAAAGAAAAAAAAAAGTTGCAGCAAATGTTCTCTCTATTCATAGTAGCAATTGTAAGAATTGTAAAATTGATGTAGATATAAAATTTGATTAAACAGTAATTTAGTATGTTATTGGTGGCAAGACTGAGCGGGCCGTAAAGTGACAGTTTAAGCTCTCAAATGCGGACAAGAAAGTAATGCAAAGAGCCCGGTCGTATATAGTATTTTACAAAGTATCGATAAATAAATCTAGTATCAAGAGTGGCTCTTTTCATATTTCAAAGTAGGCCTTGCGACCAAAATCATTTATAGATACTCTTTATATAATATCAGGAAGTATACAAAATATTAACATATTAATAATAATAAAATTAAAAAGTTAATAACCGAATAATCCCAAATATTACAGCCATCTCGTTTTTTTTGGGGTCCACCAGAATATTAATTTAACAGATAATAATTTCCAAGGCCTTTTCTTTCGAAATGGATCAGCGTTTAAGAGTGGTTTACTATTGTTAGATTGTATTAGAACCACGAACGGTTAAAATTTTTAACACGAGCTGTGAGTTTACAAACAATAAAATAAAATTAATGTGTTCACGAATTCGCCAAAGTTTCATACATTTCAGATTAAAAATTAATTCATAATTAATTACGCTCGTTGAAGGGAAATCGTTGCGTCGAATGTGATCCATTTTCGTTTAAACAATTACTCCTTTATTACAAACCAAATTTTACACTCACAACACCCCAAAACAAGAAGTGACAAAAATCTACCCAATTCGCATTCCCAAACCCCTACGCCAAATCGAGGATGACATTCTTGTACTTCCCTAAATGCTGGAGAACATGAGTGATGGCCCATGATGTTCTGATTTTTCTTATTTTTAAATTTTCAAATACGGTTTCCCGGGTTTTTTTTTTGCTCAGCGCGAGATTTAAATTTCAGACCTAGACACCACAATATATTTGTTTCATCCTCACATTTTATTTGAGGGAACAAAAAACTGCTCTCAGTCTCAGTTCTGCTTTGGAAAAAAAAATGTACGACGGTGTAACTATTCTGCGTGGTAATGGAACTATGATTAACATACCTATAATGAATTTTTAATTTTCAAAAAGTTGTTTGAGGAATAGAGAGTAGTTACAATAATAGTTTATTTGGCCAAGTTATGCAACACATAATACACGTGTGTTATCATGTAATTTTCTTAAGAAAAACGTAAGGACTTCAATCAAAATTCAGGAATGCAATTTGATAAATGCAAACAAAAATTCATTCAAATTCGTCCTTTTAATATGAACTTTTTTTCATTTTAACCTAACAATTGACGTTTATTCCAAATTATCAAGACCAAACTATGTTTAACTTAAAACAGAAGTAATGGTTAATATCAAAGACTGCTATGAAATTGGACTATTGGTTGCGTTTTGAAATTTTTAAACGTGAAACTTTTCGTGAATAATTCTAAATACTGTGGTGACCAAATCTGAATTAAAATTTCGCGCTGAAAAAAAAAACAACGGCGCGAAATCGCATTTGGATAATTTAAATTTAAAAAGAATTTTCATTAAGAAAATCGTTAAACATAGACAATATGTGCAAGTTTAGTTCACTTGTTTGTTAGAGGGTATAAAACTTCTTAATTTCTCACACAAGATTGCTAATACTTCATTTATGGCAGTTAAATCAATTTAACATCATGTAAGTTCTTTGTTTGAATCATTGATAAAGTGTGGCATAATTTAACATCATGTAAGTTCTTTGTTTGAACCGTTGATAAAGTGTGGCAAATATTAACCGCATGTAGTTTTGTTAGCTTTGTAATTTTTCACCTCATGCAATTTCTCTCAGTCTTAGTCTTAGTAATTTTCATTGCTGTATAATTTAAATTGAATATAAATTTTCATGATCTGCAGTTCCTAAACTCAAGTATTTTTTTTATGTCTGCACAAGTTTTACTTCACACCTGATCTTTTTTGTTTTTATAAATTTTTGCTAGTTTTTTGTAGCACGTAAATATTTTATTAATAAAAACTTCCATCGTAAATTGTCTGATGTCCAATCTTAATTTCAGATAAGAATCCTTTGCCGTTCAAAATTTCACGAGAGTGTATGGCGAATTTAATCGTTGTTTGCTGTTCTTTTTGAAGCTTTAACACTTGTTCGATTGTAGTTTAATATCAAAGTCGTAGAAATTAAACATTTAAAAGGAGTTGAGGTAAATAACACAAAAATACGTGGCGGGAGCGGAGTGCGCAGTTCCTTGTTGAGCTGGCAGTCGCGCCATCTGCACAAAAGACGCGGATTTTGAATAGAGATCAGGGAAGCGGTCGGGATGATGGTCGGTATTTCCAACCACGAGTTTGCGATCGAGACGGCCTGCTCGCGCGGCACGTTTCTTCGTGATAGAGGGGTACTGGGTGGTATGTGTATGCCGATAGAATAGAATCACCGTCGTGGTGGGAGAACAGCCACAACCAGGAACCCCAAATTCCGCTCGTGCTATAATGCCATCTATGGGTAATTCTGCTGTGCTCTAGAATGACATTGATATAGTTCGATCCTTATACTCTTAAAGTGACCCTAGGTGTCCCCGCAACTTCTGGAGTCATAAGGATTCACGAGGAGGCGCTCTGGTGCCGCTGTTGCTGTGCGTAATAATTTATGTATTTGCATCCAGTTAGTTTATTTCACTTTTTTTTGTTTTTATTAAATTTGTGATATTCAAATATTTGCATTGATGCAGAACGTTTAATTTGATTTCATTCCAAGTCAGGCAAGTTTTTTTTTTGTAGCTGAGAACTAAGAGATCTTCATCCTGCACACCTTAGCCGTACCTTTTTTTTTCATTATTTTTGTCAGTGGAGGAAAAAAACGTTTTGTGTTCTCCATATATTTTGTGTTTTATTTAGCGGTACTTTACGTACCTTGGAGTCCACCATCTGAACGCATTCCGCCAAAGAAAATGCAAACACAATATTGGGTTCCATTTTGTTATAGACGTTTACAGTCAAGGCCAATTTTTCAAATTTTCGCGGGTTTTTCAATTTTTTTTTTCACATGTCATTTTAAGGCGGGATGTTTGGGTTATCACAGTATACAAGAAAAAAAAAGACGTTTCGGAATTGTGCTTCTTTTTTGGTATAGATTATAGATGGCACCAAACTATAACCATTCATAAATTGACAAACCATTTTACAAAAGATTATTTCAAAAAATATATTGTCTATCTTTGAAGAATATATTCAAAATTTTTTTGTACAGTGCTGTAGGTACAATGAAAAACGTTCCGGTGTTCTTCCCTTGTGGAATAGACGACAACACATTAAGTATTTATGCATAATTGTTAAATAAAGTAATAATTTTATAATATTTAAATATGAAGCATAATACTATTCCAGAGTTGGTTGTTAAAATGTTGAAACGTACACTTTTCTTATTTAGTTCGGTACCTCTCAGTGGCGGCTCGTGACTGTCTGATGTGGTGAGGCGATGATAGAAGTTTGACAATAATATTATCAATAATAAAATTAATTAAATTAATGTGATTAATGCATATTACTTGGTCTTAGTAGTCAGTAATGATAGAAGTCTTGCCTGAACATCGTTCATTTCCCCGTCAGTAGTGGGTCCTAATAATAGTAATAATAATAATAATATTAACACCCATAACACATTTCATCAACAATGTTTTTACAAGTCAAAATTTTGTTTAAACTAGCACTTTCTTGGAGGGATTCGGCAATTGTTGTGTTCCTTTCTAAATCTTTTAAGCCCATGAAATTTTTAATGTGTACTTTGGAACTTTTATGTAACTTTGCACTTCGAATGAAATTCTTTAAATCGTTATATCTCGGAGACGTCGTCCATGTGTTTTTTACATTGCCTAAGAGTAGACACGGCCAACAATATAGACTTTCAGCATAAATATTACGGCTACGGCAGAGCCGTTTATGTTTCGTACCAGGCTGGTTTAAAAGATCTGGAGTACTGATGACATTGTCGCTTATCAATGGAAGTTAACGGTTTTGACTGTTCGATATTTAGCAAAATTTACCGACGTTCTAACTCGGTTCGTCGTGAAAACGGCGTTTCAAGAAGCAACATGACAATATCGTACTCGGGATTCATGTTTCACTCACCTGTACCCTGTACCTATGAAAGAGACTAAAACACGAAACACCAACTCCTGGACTTTTATTCACGTTTATGCTAATTACCCACGCACCCTGCATCCCTTCTATTCTGTAAAATAAATGGGAAAATGGTTTAATGGGTCCGCCGAAATTGGCCGAGAAGCATCGAAGATATCGCCTCAGTTGCGAGCGAATTCATGTATAGGAGTATAGCAGCTGAGTCATGGAAATCCGTGTCTGTGATTGGGCTTCATTGGCTCAAGTGAACCGACGCTCTGGCCGCTTCAGTTAAAGAATTCGGGGCATGGATCGTACAGTATTCAACGGAAAATGTCCGCAGAAAGTGTAAAAATAAAAAATCATCTACAGATTTACCATTTCAACATATTTTTGTAACTAAAAATGCATTGAAAGCTCTTTTTTAATTATAAATTAAATCAATCTGTTCTTAAGATATATGCTGTGAGGCGCCGCCTCACTTGCCTCATATGACGAGCCGCCACTGGTACCTCTTTGTATAGCTTCATTGTTACCGTGTTTGGATCTAATATACAGGATTGTTCATGAGAAGCTCCACCCTTAAAAATTCAAGACGCAACCAGAAATACATTTTTAAAACCATCTTTGATATTTCATACCATTTTTTTTTTTAATAAAACATCGGTGTCTGTTTCGTGTAAGAAGTGTCATGTTAAAATTGACATTTTGTCAGAAGTTCCTAAACACCTAACAATGTTTAAATTAAAACAGAAATAATGGTTAATATCAGACTTCTATGAAATTGTACTGTTGGTTGCGTTTTGAATTTTTCAGGTGTGATATTTTTCGCGAATCATCTTGTATGTTTTTTTAATAATTCCGCTTCAAACACTCAAAAAGTGCTACTGCACGAGCAATATTCATATATAATAATTACGTCATCAGTTTTTTGGGAGAAATGAAAACACAAATTTTGAATAGCATTACTATGCCCATGATAATGTTAAAGTAAATCTACATACTGGAAAATTATGTTTAGGTATGCGTCTATTAACATTGGCTTGTCTTTTATACAACAATAGTTATTTCTCTATTTATTTCTTTATGGCCAACACTCGCCTCAGCTTAATTATAACCTCGAGTAATTTAACGTGGTATGCACTTTTATTTCTCTATTATTTCCTGTCTTCGCACTCCAAGTAATACTACACGTTCGAACATAAAATTCATTGCTTGAAACCTACAAATTAAAGCCCACTTAACTGAGCTAAAATATCACAAATCTATTCTTTATTTATACATAGTATATACAATGTGTACAACAGCAATATACTCTAACATAATGAAGATCATTGAAAGCAATTAGTGTACAAGGCACTCAAAAACGTGAAAACACTGCTTAATTACGGATGCGAAATAAGATCAAAATTTTCGTGACTATAGTGTAAACTACTTGCACCTGATACACAATTGTTAATTCGAAAATCTAGATCACCAAACATGGCACTATCGTTCATTTTATTACCATCATAAACCGAAAGAAAGTTATTGTACTCCGCATATTGCCCCAAATCGATATACTTCTCCTGATAATTCGGTTTATAAGTCTTTGGATTTTGGAACGCTTCAAAATTTTGCATATTTTCGTCGAAGTAGACCTTATTGTCGGCGATAATCTCGAAGTTGGGTTGGGTTTTGTAATCTCCATCGAGCATGGTTTGCTGGAAGTAGCTCTGCGCTGATTTGTGCACACCATACAAATCGTCAATTTTCGCGCTTTCCATGTACTGGTTTTGGTTTATGGCAGGAACTAAGTTGTTGTTGAGACTTAGACTATTATCGGGGGATTGACTTAGATTGAATCGACTGCTGCCGCTGTTGTTGCTGTCGTCGTTGATCATGGTGGTGATGTTCTGGCTCCAGTACTCTTCCGACTTGAACTCCCTGTGGATGGTACCGCTGCCCAAATCCAGCAACGTCGAGGGCGATCTATTAATGTCGCTGGTCGAAGTCGCGACGAAATCGGGCTTGATGGGTTGGTCCAGCTGGAAGATCTCCTCCGGCTGGAACAAATCCGCAGGAATGTTGGTGAAGTCGTACTGCTGGTTCAGAGTTGCGACGTCTGGGTACGACTGCGCTTGTGCCGGTTCTTGCGTCCAGTACGAGTCGAGAACTTGCGGCTGTTGGTAGGTAGGTGAATGGGGGTTGTATTGTTGCAGAGTTGTGGGAAGAACTGGCTGGTAATTACAAATACACTCAAAAGGCGGGCAGGAACAATAACCTGCAACGTACCAACTTTAATCACTTTCTTGCAATTAAAATTCTATTACCTTTGTCTTGATCGGCGATCAGAGGAGGAGGGTTGAGGTTCCGCGGGCCTGAGGTCAGATCGCGACACTGGCGTTTCGGCTCTCGCAGCGACATCAGCTGGAACGAAAAAGTACTATCTCAATCATCTAAGTCCAAAACGTAATAAATTGAGTCTTGAGAATGTACCCAAGGGGTCCGATAATGAGAGGTTTGTCTAACACATGATTAAGCATCAGCAATCACCAATATTTCGATACAAATAGAGTTACGGCTGATAAATCGACCACACGTATGTAATTACATGGTGAGGCCGACGATTTAAGAAGAACAAACCCGTAATTAATACTAGTAATCCACTGGAAAATGTGGCATTGACAGAAACATATGTCTTCTTCGTTTTACATACCAATTTAATTAAATATACATTTCCGTCTGCGTTGGGCCCATATTTCTTGACTCGGTGAATGATGTCATCGGATGCATCAAGTAATTTTGATTATAGACATTTGAAATTTGATTCCTTAAATTAGCTGTCTGTGCACCACGGCCCAAAATCGTATTTTAATGCACGAGAATTAAGTGTTTTTGACGAGGCGACACGATGTAGACGAAAGCTTTTAATTTGTCATTTAGTACGAAAAATTAGTCTCCCGTTTCCGTCTGTCTGTCTATCTGGCGTCTGTGTCCATTTTTATTAGACACGTAATCTCCGAAACTACCGGACTGACAAAAAACGTCTTGTCAGTATTTTCTAGGATTTGTTAACATGCTGAATAAACATATCCTGCTAAACATTTCGCATTTCTAATGACTATGCAAACGGAAGCGCAAATTGAACTCATTTCCATGAACTTCGGCTCGCTAAAAATTCAAGGATCAGCTGCCTCCATTTTTACATTTCAGGTTTTCTTTTTCTTTTTGTAGATCTCTAGCTGTCAGTATTAATAGTGAAACGTGTCTGCTGACAGTAATGAGCGAAATTGCAATCATTTGATCGTTATCTGGAGTATCGATTGGGTTTTTAAATTGTAATAATACTTAGGCTGTCGACTAAGTAGCTGCTTACAAGGCGATAACCTTCACATCAAGTCGGTCTAACGCTAAGTTAATTGTTTTTCACGATTTAATAAAATTTTATTTCATCTAGAACAATAAAAGTACGAAGTGCTGGTGCCGGTGTTTTGAAAGAACTGCTTCAGCTTGCGCTAGTAAAACTGCTGCTACTAAAAGTAAGTAACACTTGTCTTGTAAACATTTATGGGAGAAGTGTTGACATGAGCGAGAAATTTTTACCACGTTATTTTTTTCAGTCATTTATTACGTCCTGGAATGAATTTAAGAGAAAATTTATTAGTTTCTTTTTTTGTTCCAGAAACGTAAATGACGATCTCAGTGAGCACGTGTTTTAAAATAAAACAGATTTCGCCACATTATTACCAGTCAGATTACTTCTAACGTAGCGATCGTAACAAAAACTGGATAGATGATATCAAGGTATTTTGTACCAAAAAAAAGAAAAATTGTTTAAAAGTTGCATTTCTGAAGTTTTTGAACGAAGATCTTGAAGCTACGAACACCATATCCCCAATCGTCTCCTTTTCGCAAAATAAGTCAATTCTGTCCTGTTTTATGATTTACAATGTTTTTCTACCAATTCTTGCCCCCGCGGAGCTTGAAAACCTCAAGTGAACCGCAATTTTATTCATATTGCTGTTGAAATTTATGAGCTATATTTTTGGGTGCAGAATACGCAAACTTTTGTGTATTGTTGGTTACATAAATAAAACGTTTGCATTTTTTTTTAACTAAAAGTCCACCTTCTAGCGCTTAAAAATGCACAGAATTCCTTGAAACACATTAGAAATGTAAATTTCAAGCCTTTTTTGTGTTTTCTAGCGTTTCTGGTACCCGACGGCCCCGAAATTACCTGGAAAACCATCAGGGTTTCGCTAGAAATCATATTTTTGTCAAAATTTATTACTTCTGAGCCATATTTCGTCTACTTTTTCCGAAAAGAGTCAATCAGAATGCTTAGACATCATAAATTTCAATAAAAAATTCATTTATAGCTAAAATTTATAGGTTTTTTTGGTATTTTCCAGCAATTAAAAGTGAATTTAGAAGAAAATACGAATATACCCTGCAGAATATTTTCGAAAGAAAAGTCTGTTACCGAAAACGGGAGATTCCATAATAGAATAACAATACTCAAAACTGAGGAAAGAATACAAGAGTGTATGCCGATAGTCTAATTACGACGAAACGTTGAAAGATAAAAAGGAGAGAGCAGAGAAAAATAATGAGCGAAGAACTCCGAATATGTAATACGAATAAATGCTGGAAGATTTGGAAACAAGGAGCTCAGAAGACAAAACATTAATAAAAAACACGAACAAAGACAGCCATGAATTTTTGAAGATTTGTCTTTGAATGTGGCAGGTTCAAATTGACGGTCGCCGGAAAACACGAAAATTCTATCAAAGACAAATCTTCAAAAATCTATAATTAATATATTTGATCATGTTTTTATTGTTCTCTCGTTGAATTTTTCAGTGATGATAAACTGCCATTCAAAAAATAATAATTTTCCAAATATTTGATGCGACCTATATTTTTCCCTTAGTTGGTATATTATGCCCTTTTCTAATTAAAGTAAAGACTTATGCATTTGTTACGTATTGAAATTATAAAAGACACTTTTTTCATACTCATGTACTAAAAAAGAAAAAAGAAAATTAGAAGTACTTTAATAGTGTAAATTATCTGATAAACACGGAAATAAGGGAAATTTTGAAACATTTAATAAATTATGCGTTGAGAACAATAAATTCTTAAAAAAATCATTATGCATTTTTTAAAAACAAATTAAATACATGGAGATAGAAAATCTAGTAAATTCCGTGACACTGAAAACGTTTTAAAAGATATCACTTAATAATTTTTACTTTCTAATGCGACTTCTGGAATTTTAAATTTTTAAAAAGTTGTTTTTTTCATCTACAATGCTCATGGTAAAATTCAAAATTTTGAAGGTGATTATTATCAGATTAATATTTTGCATTTTCCAAGTTTGTGAAAGAAATCATACACGCTAGAGAGATTAAGTTCATTAAAGCTTTCTTTTTCTCGAAAAGCTTGGAATTTCTAAAGTAAAAGTTAAAAACTTTTAAAAGAATGTTTTATAATTCAGTGAATCCAAAGTTTCTTCAATTTTTTCAGAAGCAAAAACTCAGTTTTCTTAATCTCAAAAAACATTAAGAATTCAGATATAAATCGAAGGTTTTTTTTCCAAGAAAATCTGAGTAAATAGCCCTTTGCAATTTGAAAAAGTTGTTTTTCTAATTTACCCCCCTATATCCTTTCAGCTTTTCCAAGAAAACACCAGGGAACCCCGAAGTTTTTTCGTCATTTACATAAAAAAATATTACTTGGAGTCCCCGAGATTTTTTCAAAAAAATACTTGGGACGTCAAAATTCTTTCGCCTTTTGGTAAAAATAACATTTGGAGCCCCTGAGATTCTTTCAGCTTTTCCAAAAAAAATTACTTAAGAACTCCGGAATAAATTCCCCTTAAAAAACACTCAGAGCCCCCCAAAATTCTTTCATATTTTATGTAAACATTCTAGGGGACATCAAGATTCTCGGATATTTTAGAGAAACAGCATTCTAGAAGTCCCCCAGATTCTTTCAGTTTCTCAAAAAAAAAAAAACACTAGGGAAACTTAAGATTCTTTCGCATTTTAGAATAGAATAAAACTTGTGGCCCCAAAGATCCTTTCAGCTATTTAAAAAAAAAAAACTAGGGGGAACTTAACTTGAGATCGATTATTTTGGCTTTTAGAAAAACATAAAACCAAGGCCCCCGAAATTCTTTCACCTTCTCAAAAAAAAAAAGAAACAAACACTAGGCAACCCCAAGATTTTCTTGTAGATTTTGACTTGCAGAAATTATTTTCAGTTTCATTTCTTGGAAAATTACAACAATTTTTCCAGAATCGATAAAATAAAAAACTAGAATTTCCAGACCGATTTTTCGAAAGTCTTAGTCCAGGACTAACTAACACTAAATTCTTAAGAAAAATTATTACGTTTTTTTTTAACAAATTAAATACATGGAGATAGAAAATCTAGAAAATTCCGAGACACTGTAAAAGTTTTAAAAGATATCACACGATAATTTTAATTTCTAATACGACTTCTGAAATTTTACATTTTTGAAAAGTTTTTTTTTTTCACCTACAATAATCATAATAAAATACAAAATTTTTAAGCTGATGATTATTATTATCAGATTAATATTTCGCAATTTCCAAGTTTGTGAAAGAAATCATACAGGTTGGAGAAATTAAGATCGTTAAAGCTTTGTTTTTCTCGAAAAGCTTGGAATTTCTAACGTAAAAGTTAAAAACTTTTAAAAGAAATTTTTACAATGCAACAAATCTTGAATTGTTTGAGAAGCAAAAACTCAGTTTTCTTAATCTTAACAAAGATTAAGAATTCAGATATAAATTGAAGGTCCAAGGTCCAAGAAAATCTGAGTAAGTAGCCGAGAAAAAGTGATTTTTCTAATTCGGTGTTTTTAGGGGACTCTCCTTAAAAAAAATTAAAACTTGGGCCCCCGAGATCCTTTTTGATTCTCCAAGAAAAAAAAGAGCATCAGGGGACCCCCAGATTTGTCGCCTTTTAGAAAAAAAGTAACACTTGGGGTCCCCGAGACCCTTTCAGCTTCTCCAAAAAAAATACCAGGGGTCCCTAGATACTTTCGCCTAATAGAAAAAAAAATACTTAGGGCCCTGAGATCCTTTCAGGTTCCCAAAAAAAAAAGAAAAATACTAAGGGACTTCGGAATTAATTCGCCTTAAAAAAAATAACACTAAGAGCTCCCCAGATTCGTTAAGCTTTTCTAAAAGAGATACTAGGGGACCCCCAGACTCTTTCATACTTAATGGAAAAAATACTAGGGAACATCAAGTTTCTTGGGCATTTTAGAGAAAAATAACACCTTTTAGAATAACAGCAATTGCGACCTAAGAGGTCATTTTAGATAATTCAAAAAAAAAAAACTAGGGGAACTTGGTATTGATTATTTCGCCTTTAAGAAAAAAAATAACACTAAGGGCCATCGAGATTCTGTCAACTTCTCAAAAAAAAACACACCTTTTACATAAAAATAACACTTGGAGCCCCCGAGACTTTTACATCTTCCTAAAAAAATACTAGGGGACTCCAGAATTAATTTGCATTTTAGAAAAAAATAACTCTTCCGAGTCCCCTAGATTGTTTCAAAAAATACTAGAGGATATCGAAATTATTTCGCCTTTTGGAAAAAATAATGCTTGGAGCCCCTGAGATTCTTTTAAATTTTCAAAAAAAAAACACTTAGGAACTCCGGAATTAATTCGCCTTAAAAAATAACACTAAGTGCCCCCGAGATTCTATCAGCTTCTCCACAAAAAACAACACCAAGGGATTTCCAGATTCGTTCGCCTTTAAAAAAAATAACACTTGGGGTCTCCGAGAACCTTTCAGCTTCTCCAAAAAACACCAGGAGACCCCGAGATTCTTTCCTCTTTTAGAAGAAATAACACTTGGAGTCCCCGAGATTCTTTCGCAATTTAGAATAACATAACACTTGGGGCCCCAGAGATCTTTTCAGTTACTTCAAAAAAAAAAAAAAAACTAGGGGAACTTGGTATTGATTATTTCGCCTTCAAGAAAAAATAACACTAACTGCCTTCGAGATTCTTTCAGCTTCTCCAAAAAAGATAGTACGGGACCCCCAGATTATTTCACATTTTATGTAAAAACGCCAGGGGGCACCAAGTTTCTTGCGCATTTTAGAGAAAAATAACACTACAAGCCCCTGAGTTGCTTTCAGCTTCTCAAAAAAAAAAAACACTGCCAACACCAAGATTTTCTAGTAGATTTTGACTTGTAGAAATTATTTTCAGCTTCATTTCTTCGAAAATTACAACCATTTTTTCCACAATCGATAGAATAAAAAAATTACAATTTTCAGACCGAATTTTTCGAAAATCTTAGTCCGGGATCATTGGCAAGTTAATTTTTTGAATCACCTCGGCAAAATATATTTCATATATTTTTTTGAGGATTTTTAGGCAACTTTCAATTTTTGAATAGATCCGTAAGAATTTTTGCACCATTCGAAAATTATCTCAAGATCTCTTCTAGTAGATTTTGACTTACAGAAATTATTTTCAGCTTCATTTCTTCAAAAATTTATCAATTTTTCCAGAATCGATAAAATAAAGAAATATAGTTTTCAAAATATTTAAAAATATTAATTTTCAAATCAAATTTTCGAAAGTCTTGGTCTAGGACCCTAATAAATTGATAAAATATAATCAACATTAATTTAGTTATTATCAAAATAACTAAATTAATGTTGATATTTTTTTAAATAAAGCTTTTAAATGTTTTCATTGTTGTACACGTTCTTTGTAAAAACTCGTTGCAAAGAGTTCGTTTTACAAACTCGAACTCGTGTGATAATAACGGGCTTTATACAACAAATAAAAATATATAAAGTTTAAATTTAGCCGTTGTTTTTTTGACATCTGTAAAAACGTAAATGTTAGACATAAGTACATAAGACAAATGTCGCACCATAATAGTGTTAAATTGTTTATTAACTTTTTTCTAAAAATTTTTCAAATATAATTTTGACTTTTTAACAACAATTTTTAAAATTCATAATTTGATATTGCTTCTATTTTTCTCAAATGAGATAACTTAGGAAATAATGTGTGAAGAACATAGAAAACTAGAGTAAAGTAATGTATAAAATTAAAAAATATATATATAAAAAAATCCTAAATGGACAACTCGAAGCTTTACGTTTCAGTACATTATATGGTAAATACATTATCATATATTTTATAGTTTGTGAGATTGTAATTTCCAGAAAGACCTCTTTTACTGTAATTTAGAGATAATATTGAGTAAACATTTTTCTACATTATTGTTTGTCGAAGAAATTATATAATTTGCTGTTTTTTGTAAAGATTATTGCAGACTTTTTCAATAAAATGCACCTCATCATTAATTTTTCGAAGATTGTAACTAGAAGGGCGCGAAATGGAGGACCGACATGTTCGAATTCTACAAACCACAAAAACTCAAAATTCCTGTGCCTTACCTTATTGCCAAGTGCCGCCTCCTTCGCTAACAGCACCGCCAGCCCCCTCACTCTCCTCCCGCTCCCCAAGCTCCTTCTAGCCTCCGACGTGCTCTTCGCCTCGGGCCTGGGATGATCGTGCACCCCCTTCGCTTGAAAGAAAATCGCATGATCCGTGTGCCTCCAAAAGTGCGTCACCGGATACCCGCAGTGCCCTCGACACGCCAGAATTTCCAACCTTCCCGTGCACTGCCGATTCGGGCATGGTTTACCTGTCGCACCTTATTTTTTAAAACTTTTAGACAAATTAGCCCGAACCACTATACCTTGCTGCTTCTTCCGAGCTTTATCACAAATCGCTGGCCTCAAGTGGACCCTGTCCCCGTTCGGCAAGGTGCAGCGCAGCGAGCAGACTAGAACTCCCAGGCAGCTTTTTTTGAGGATGTGCACGTTGTGGTTGTTGGTGTTCCGCATTGCCCATCCGGAGGAGTGTCTCTTGGCGTCTTCGTTGTCGGCTCTGTAGACCAATCGGCAATGGCCGTCGGCCCATTCAGAAAATGTGTCGAACTCGTTGATTCGGGGTATCGCGCTGTCGTTGATGTCCCAGTCGGAAGAAGAGGAGTTAGAGTAGACCCGGCACGACATGCCAGGGGAAGACGGGGTATGCCTGGAAGAGAAAATGCGTGGGTGGATTTTTGTCAAAGGGAAATAAATTGTTTGTGTCAAGAGTTGCTGCAGATTTGGGTATAAAACAGGGTTTATTTTTTTTAAATAAAGTCTAGTGTGGGTTGTAAGGGTTGACGATCACTGTAAGCTATGATTTGTACCCTTAAATAAATAAATAAACGAGAAATCCGGCTTACCAGGTGAATGAGATCGTAATTACCTCCGTAAACACACGCTTTTTATTTCTGTTAATTTGTTTCGATGTTGGCACGTCAACTTTTTTGCTTTTGAAACCAGTCTATTTCCGTTTCAATAGTTTTTCGAATTTTAAATATTCCGTGAGAAAACGTTCATCTCGTCTTTGCTATAACACCTATTTATTTCATGGGAGCTAAGTAAGCTAAAAAAATATCCTAGCTCCTAATCGTTATTTTCCAGTCTTGGCCAGGTCCTGTGTCAACCAGTTTAATTTACTTTAAAGTTCGTTAAATAGTGGCAGAAATTTCTGTTACTTTTTTAATTTTTGTTGTCCTGCATGACTTATGCTGTCGAAAATGATTAAATTTTTTAATTCTGGAAAAACTTTACTATGAAAAAACTGGCTCGGCAATAGAGGTCCTACTACATGGCCAGCTCGCAGTCTAGATTTAACCCTTAGATTTCTTTTGGTGGTGATTCATAAACGATTTCGAAAATTTGCGACCTTTGCTTGATTTGGAAGATGAAAAAACTGAATTAGGAATGTATGTGTCTCTGTGTGTATGAGTTATTTGGAAAATAAAGTGGTAATCATTTATTTCATTCAACTTTCGTTTTTTTTTTACTTCCTGAACGTAAGTTTCACGTTTTCTCGACGATTCATAACCCCTAGAATACGAGAAAAGTGATCTTCCGGTTCCGTCTGTCTGTTTATTTGTCTGATCTTTGAAACTATTGGACCGACATTAACCAAAATTTGGTTAATCGTCCCCACCAACAATTTGATGACGTTATTTCAAATCCTATTTTAAAATGAATTAAGTGTTGTACAACATTATAAACAAACTCAATCAAATTTCTACGTGCCATTCTTTCGATGTATAAACATAAACATATGAACTGAAGCTTATTGTTATTGCTGAGAGGATATTTTTTCCTGTTAATTATCTGCCTTAAATATATTTTACATTGTTCCTATTTGAGAGCGCAAATTCTTGGCGTAGGGTTATTTATGCCACTGGTTTTTACTTTATAGAGATTAGCACAAAAACGAAAATCGCAAAATCAAATTTTATAATTTTTTCAAGAAGAGGGATCTTTTGGTTTAAACTTGAAGGGAGTTCTGTTGAACCTTTGATCAGTGTTTTCAATTATCGTATCAATCGTAATTTAATAATCGATTTCATTAAAATGTACTAAATTAAACTTCCCCCATCAAGCTAAAAGCAATAGTATCACTACTGCGAGAGAAAAAATAATAATCATAAGGTACTGGAAATGAATACGAATTTTTACAAAAACAAAGGATTGAAAAAAAGACATTCTTCTGGATAAAATTTAGTTAAAATACAATTATTAAAAAACAATGACAAGTTGAAACTAGTTAATATGTGATTTCAGAATTAATTTATATACAGAGTGATTCACTAAGTGCGGTTTTCGATATCTTGTTAAATGAAAAAAAAAAAAAATAGAAACAAATATTAAGAACTAAAATTATATATCCAGTTCTTTAAGTAGAATCACTAAAATTGTTTTCGACTATACCGAGTGTTCCGTTTTTGAGGCATTACATATAACCAGTTTTTTTTTAATGAAACAGTCTATACATATATTTTTACATACTCTGAATGGCTTCGTTGTAGGTTTAATAACCGAAATTCTGATGCGCCGTTGTAACCCTTAGTTAATTGTCTTAAATTTTTGTAGTAAGACAATTATAGTATTCACAAAAAAAACAGGGTTAGGTTCTTTATGACGTAGATTACAAAAAAAACGTAATTTTATAAAAGTAAAATTGGCAACACTGCACACACCATATGCGTGAATACCTTTGGCTGACTTTCGGATTACTCGATGGTGACTGAAATCCACGTTTTATTTTTTTTAGGACAATAATCATAGCAACCAAGTCATTAATACTTGTGCATTATTATTAATAAAACAAGCTATTATTTTTCATTAATAAATAAACCAAAAAAGAAAAAACATTTAATAAGACATTTATAAATTAGAACGTTATTTTTAGTATCTGCTAAAATAAGACCGATTTTGGCAAATGCCATACCCTCTAAGAAAAGAGAGGATGGGTGGGCGGGGCTAGAGCCGCCAAGATAAGACCGATTTTGGCAAATGAGGTATCCTCTAAGAAAACAGAGGGTGGGTGGGGGGGGCTAATACTTACTAAGATAAGACTGATTTTGGCAAATGACAAACTTTCTAAGAAAAGAGAGGGTGGGTGGTCGGGGTTAGTACCTGTTAAGAAAAGAGTGATTTTGACAAATGAATTTTTGAACGGTATTTAATTTTTTTGAAATACAAGACACTGTCTTTGATTTATACAACTTACTGTACTTTATCTCTCAAAAAAGTGAAAAATTATAGAAACTATCATTTTTAGACATACAAAAATAATAAAAAGGAAGTGAATGAAAAACGGACTAAGATGCAGCAATAGAACATGGTGTTCTACTTCGAAAAAAACTAAAATATCGATATTTGGAAATTGTAATCATTTTATAAACATTTTGTATGTTGATTTTTTAATTTAATTCAGATCACAGAAAAGTGCATACCTTTGTATATTTCCCTACTAAATATTGTAACGCAGGTTTTAAAATTAACTTTGTTGCGATTTTTTTGTGAAACTTTGTAATATCAAAAAATGTCAAGAAAATAGGAATAACGTGACAACGTGAAACGAAATTTCAGAACTAAACTACGGTTTTAAAGCCAATGAGAACCTGTAAAATTACATAAATGTTCTGCTTAAATAATGTATAGTTGCGACCTTGCGACTTTTGTGTAATTTTCAATAATAAAATTAATTTAGCGACTCACCCTGTAGATTTTTTTTAATAGTGTGCTCACTAACTCTGTGACACGTTATCAAGGATTGTTTATTGAGCAAAGAAAAAATAATTTAAAAAATTCTTACAGGCAAATGTCTGTCAAAATTTAATTTATCTGATAAATATCCAACAATATTTTAATTCACTATATTATGTTGGCTGTGTGAATTCGACCGGATTTTCATTATTTAAAAGAATTTTTAAAGCATCATGTTTTTATCTACAATTTTTCATTTTATAATGCAGGATGTTAATAAGTGTTTTAGATCTAGTGGGTTATGAAACTAATTTATTAATGTGCCGCTTCATTTGAATTTTTCCGAAATGAATTATTCTGTCAATTAGTTGACAAACTTTGAAGTCAAATTTTGTTGTTGTTATACTCAAATTCTGCCGTCAAAAAAAATGTATTTTCGAAAGCGGCAAATCGTGTTCACGGCCCTCTAGATGTATACTAAACTCACTTGACATACACCTAGTAAGACTTTTGACCTAAACGGCTTAAGCCTTATAAGTAAAACTTGCTATTGTAAGCTTTAGGAACCCGAACCGCAAGGATTATTACTGTCAATTGTTGCCACAATGAAGGTGTAAAGTTTTACTGGGTGTATGTCAAGTGAGTTTAGCATAATCAGTTATTAACAACCTTTCTTATCGTTATTATTTTTGAATCAGCCTCTACGTGTATTTAAAAATTTTTGAAAAATTCGTGGTAATATTTTATCGTTATGAAATTTTATATTCCTAAAAAATTCTAGAGTCACGTTTGGAAACTAATTACCAGGAAATTTAAGAAAAAAATTGTGTAATTGTAACGGGGGGCCTCTGGATACAACAGAAACTGTGATTGTCATATTAAACTGACATATACATATTAGATAACACATTAACAAGGCAATTTTGGAGTTGTTTGGTGCCAACTACAATAGAAATTTATTATCCAAAGTTAAGTTCCCTAATAATAAATAAATAATAATAAAAATTGAAGGTTATAAGATTTTACATTTTAAATATTATAATTTTTTATGTTACGAAATCAGAATTATGAAATTGTTAAGATTCGAATGAAGCCTTGGCCGCCTATAATTTTAATTAGCAAAGTAAAATAGATGTTAAAAAAAGAAATCAAAATTGAAAAATGAACTGAAAAAATTAAAACCTAAATTTCAAAAAATTGCCTTTAAATTTTAAAAACATTTACATAGTTTGTGCAATTAATAATTGTTTTTGAGATTTTTCGAAATAGTCTGGTCAGATATGATATTCACAACACCTTGTTAATGTTGACAAATTCTTGCAAATCAGATTATTATTTTTTTAAACAAATCTGTGATGCCCTAATTTTAACATTCTCAACTAATCATTTTCAAATTTGTTTTTAAAAGGTATTTTTTGTGAAACATTACACCATACCTGTCAAATTTTATTTCAAAATAATTTTGTCTATTTAACATACTTAACTAAAATAAAATGAATTTTTTGTCATAAATCAATAAAACACTTTTGAAGATGAAACTTTTCGTTGTGAAAAAGAAATCTGGCCATTCTTCAAATGAGCAAATTCGGTACTAATTATTTCTTTAAAAAATTAGTCTAAGGTAGTTCTGACAGAACTTCCCTCGCCCCTAAAGTACAATAAAACAAATCCAGGTTTTTGGAAAAAATATAAAATTAGATTATGCGAATTTTCATTTTTTTATGAGAACACAAAAGTTAAAATTAAGTTATGTATGTAATGGTAAAGTAAATATGAAGGAGCGTGCTGGGCGTACGTTCCAAATGAGTTTTCTCTTAACAAAATTTAGTGATGACGTCATCAATATTTTGGGAGGGGATAAAGGAATAAATTTTGCTTAACGATTTACCATGATGACGATAACCCTAAAATATTTACAAAATGTCAGAGCATTCGGTTTTGCAGTTCAAAGTTATGTTGCAAAATATTGTCATCCAGTTTTGAATTTTTTATAAAAATTCTGAATGTTTAAGGTGAAAATTCAACACGGATTCCCGCGCCACAAGTGCAAGAATATCTTATTTTATAACATTAAAAAAAAACTTTTTATTGTTAATTTTGGAGATGACGTCATCCCATTGGTGGTGGGGACGATTAGTCAAATTTTAGTTAGTATTTAACCATTTACATGATATTCCTAATACACATACGAAATTTGACAACAATCGGGCCAGTAGTTTCGGCGATTACGCTTACGGTCGGGAAATAAAAATATGTTTATCAATAACGTCATATTTATAATTTTAACATCAACTTGAAAACATCCTTTTTAAAGCAACTTTAAATAAAAATTCTGTGCATGGATTTTTTTTAATGGCGATTTTGTTAGAGCTTATAGTGATTTTTTTTTTGAAGAATATAATTAATTACGGGTTGATTGTTATTTAAGCTATAATTTTTCTACGTCGCTAGGTATATTTTTAGTTTATTTTTGTATTCTGTGTAATATATTCAACAAAAAAAGTAGATATGTGAGATCATAATTCATAACACAGCCACTCCCAAAACGAAAAATAATGCTAAACTGAACTGTGTAACAAATGTGTGACCATTTTTATGGGTTCCCCAACACTAGAAAGTATAAAGAAATGTTTTGGTTCTAGCTTGCATATGTTGAGTTGTTTTAAATGATAAATTTTCAAGAAAAAAATTATAATTTATGATCCTGTTTGCAAAAGTAATTAAAATGCATATTCAGTTTCGTTTGTTATTTTTTTGTTTGCTAGCATAAAATATTGGACTTTTTTGATGACATAGTAAAATAAACAAATACACTAAGATATATGTGTTTTAAAAATATCTAGAAACTCATAGGTAGGTATATTGAGACAAATGTTTTTTTTTAAATTTCATATGACAAATCCACCTTATTTAAGAAAAGTTCGGCTAAAGATATAGTGCGGTCATACGGTTATGACAGCGACTTCATAAGGATCCTTCATAAAATTGAATAAATTAGACAGACATTTAGGTAGTGAACGCGCAATATTCAAATCATTTTTATTTGTCATTCTTACAATAGGACTAGCAATTAAGCCATAAGCTCACTATATCTTTAAACGAGCTATAGCATCAAGCGAACCACATTATTTTTTTTAAATACTTAATTTCTTATTTTGATCATTTTTGTTTAGTTTGTTTTTGTTGTTTTATAGGTACATATTTTTTTGAAAATGGCATATGTTTTTTCTGATGGTTTGTATAATAAATAATGAAATCGCAACTATTTAATACGGAAAAGCAACTAGGTATATCTACCTAAAAATGCTACACATAAAATTATAAGTAGGTATTAAGTATAATTGTGAATATGACAAAAAAAATCATTGCTGATTATGTTTGTAAAGAAACTGTAGGTAATAATGTATTTTCTTTACCATAACTACTTAATTAAAAAATGAAAATTAAGCAAGAAAATATATTTGCTAACATTATTGTGTTATAGGAATAAACGGGGTTATAAAAGTTGATGTTATGTTGCACTTATAAATAAAGCTCGACCGGTTTTGCGTGATATGGATCGATCATGTTTAGTTTACATAAGAGTTTTTCATTTTACTCTATTTTTAATCTCATTCTTTTTAAACTTAGGTCATCGTGTTCCCATAAAAATTTGAATGTGCATAATTTCAGCAATAACTAAGTAACAGTTTTGATAATTTGAAATATGAAAAAGAAATCTTATTATCTTATTATAATTACTACGTACTTTCTATATTACACTCCGCGCATATTATCGTCATTAGTTAGCTTTTATTGTGGTCATAAATCTTAAAATTTCCATGAGTTAATTTATGGCTTTCGAAGTCGGTTTCGCGCGTTATTGCACGTTGAAATCTCCGCAGAAATACCTGCCGTATCTAAATCCGTGTTTATCTAAAGACAATCATTAATGACACACGCCAGTTTCACACCACTGGAATGTCCTTTGAGGAGCTGACAATCAGATTAGATAAGTCAAACACAGGGAAAGTGCGCGGCTGAACAGGACTTCAATAATGAATAGATAATGACCGCGCAACCCACGCAACTTTTGCACTGTAAAATTAAAGCGTGTAAAATCAACTAGTAATAAATTTAATCTCACTAAGTTATCGACTTCTTGGTGAATCGGTCGTAAAGTAGCCCCGGGCGTTTGGTTATTAAACAATCGTAATTTACCGTTGTCAATGGGACGGTAATTATCATGTTCGATTAATTATAAGATATCTGATTTTACACTCGTAAATAATTCACTAGTCAAGAATAGGAGTACACAGACTGGATATACGAGTCGGCTATCGGTCTTAGTTGCGCCTGAAATATGAAAGGAAGCGAATTTTTCCGTTTTCGACTTTTTTCGACTCCCAAGGATACGAAATTGTCGCATTTCCATACGAAACTAGTTCTGGCTTCAAATTTTATGCATTTTCATTTAGTACTTTATTATGCAGCAATTACTTTCAATTGATAACGTCCATAAAATTGTCAAGGAGTTTAATACCAGTTACAAACATCGCAGCAGGACTGCAAGCCATCAATTAAACATTTGCTACTTACAGAATTACCATATCTCCTGAAGACGTCCAATTAGATCCAAAACTTAGGCGGCGCCACCAAACTCTTCATCAACCACCACTTGTTACACATTCATCAAATTATCGTCACTGCGTCGTGACACAAAGTGCACCCTGACGTTAGAAAGCTGTAAGGACGACTGATCCTGAAAACGCATGTTCAACCCTGGCAATAGAAAGCCACACCCCTCATCCCTTCTCCGGGAATCTAACGCCTAGACGGCCAATAGGAATGCGGTCTATTCGAGGAAACACCTCCCGCTTTTCGGTATCTAACACCTGATACCGGTGCGTAGGTTGATTGGCGGATGGTCTAGCGGGAGTGGGTGTAGCGTAAAATATTCAATTGACACGAAAAGGCGGCGTTTCGCCCAAATTCCACCAGAATTAGACGTCCCTGCTCTTGTTTGCCTAATAGACTCGTTCCGCTGACGTCGCAGGTGGGTATGATAATGTCACAGTAATGCGAGTTTAATAACGAAGATGAAAAACGCGCAGAAATCCTTTAATGTCATAAAATTGTAAGGCGGTAAGGTATGGTAAAGGTTAGGTTTAATGGGTTCGGGATGGAATAATAACGTGCCGTATTTGTTAGACGGTTTAATTGAGCCGCCGTCGAACCCTAATTGGCTATTTAATGAATATTTGACTTACTAACGGGTTTTAGTGGGATAAAAACTTCATCTGCCTTAGTAGATACAAAGAAATTGCCTTTTGCTATTTATTAAATAAGCTAAAGCCGTCTGCTAATAAATAGTTTCACCTGCTCAACCCCAAGAAAAATCGTCGACAAGGACTCATTGATTTTAAAACTAGTAAATGTGTTCTTCCATTTGCGACCGGTTGGTCTGCTTGAATTAACACTACCATTAAGGGGACACTCCAGGTAAGCTATCAAAAAGCAATACACTTCATTTGCAACACTAGCTTTAATTGCAAATATTTTCATCCTAATGGTCTAACCAGGTGGCTTATTACGCCTAGAAATAATTTAATTACGGCCGCATGCCGCTAAAACCGTATCGGAGTCGAATCCGATTGATGGTTGTGGGCAGTTTCTTTGCTTGACTGAAATTCGATTAAATGAGTAAAGTAAATGCGGGATTGAAGTGCAGGATCGTAAAATATTAGGTTTATTGCAAATTGGTGTTTACCTTATTGGTCGTAAAAGTTTCTAGAAAAAATTATAAAATGGTTCGGTGTTTTTAAATTGCTTTATTAATTGCTAAATTATAGGATGTGTACAGTATTAACGTTAATATTTTAATCAAAGATGCTATCTAAACCGCGGTGTACAATAGCATTCTTTGGAGTAATTTTAGCCTGGTGTTTGAGGTAATGAAACTGGTTGGTGTTTTGTTTCTCGACAGAAAGTTATTCTGGACGCAGTGGATGGTTTATGATTTATTTTTATTAAGCGGTTTTTTTTAAAGGCCTTCTGATTTTATCTTCAAAATTTTTAATATTTTCTTTACTGCAATGGTGGATTAAAAAAATCGTAATAACCAGGGCTGACTAATTTGGCCCACTAGAAATGATCTCACTTACAATGATATAACTAAAAATAAAGTAAAACGTTCTTGTAACACTGGTAATAGGTACATCAAAATTTTTTTAGTTCTTAAACATTATATGTATTTGTTAAATATTTTTCTTTTGATTTCGGTTTATTCATGTACAATATGTCTGTCTCAGCGAACAACCTTAACACTCTTTCTGCGTCAGTAATAATGGCCTAATAATCTGAATAATTCTGATAAACAACATATTCAGAAAAAATTGTTGCATCTTAAATAAGAAAAGTGTTTTTAGTAAAAGTCTCAGAGGAATAAAATGAGATTTCAAACAGCTTTAAATATGCTTTTTGACTAAAAGATTATTTTGACTGCGCATAATAATGAAAAAAAGCACCTAGATACTACGAAATTTTGTCTGGGTTTTACCATATTTAGGATTTGTACAGTACAAAATGAGGTATTAAATTTACAAAATCCATAATGGTTCTAAATGGAGTTCGTTCTTTTAAAAAATTCCGGAACGACCACTCGTTACACCAACACAATGATGATTGATGACTGACAGCTGATGTTGCCAACATTATTTTTTAACATTAAATTAATTTCAATGGTTGCTAGAAATTTTTTTCCGATCATACCTTGCATTATGCTGTAAAAATATTGTTTTATAAAAATTTTGGAAGTTTGGAAGATACAGTTAAATCATTGGTTGTTTTATTTTGCTACCTTGGCTCCGGCAGCCCCGATTTGTCATTTCTTAATTTTAGAATTTTTAGATTTATCAACATCTAGATTTTATTTTTCATTTTTTAAATTCTTTATTATTAATATTTTTAGATTTGTTCTCTTTAGAATTTTATTTTTTATTATCTTTCGATTCTCTTCTTCAGTTACTCAATTACAATTTTTCGGTTTTTCAATTTTTCAGTTTTCCAGTTTTTCTAGATATGTATTATTCTTTTTCTTCTATTTGGATTTTTCATTTTGTGATTTTTAATTTTTTGATTTCAATATTTTAATTTTTCGTGTCTTCAAATTTTCAATTTGCAATTTTTCAATGTCTAGATTTTATTTTTCGTCTTTAATTTTAATTTTTTGATTTTTTCGTTTCTCGATTTTTAATTTTTTGTATCTTCAATTTTTCGCTTTGCAATTTTTCGATTTCGCAATTTCTGGATGTTTATGATTGTTGGATGTTTCAATTTTCGTTTCTTTAATTATTCAATTCGAAATTTTTCGGTTTTTCAAATTCAAGAAATTTTTTTCTTTTTCAAGTATTTCGATTTTTCATTTTACCAATTTTTTATTTTGCGGTTTTTCATTTTTTGATTTCCTAATGTTTTAGATTTTCGTATTTTCGACTTGTAATTTTTCAATTTTACAATTTTTAGAATTCTCAATATTTAGATTTTATTTTTTGTTTTTAAATTTTTCGATTTTTCAGTTTTTTGATTTTTCAGTTTCCCGCTTTTTCATCATCTTCAATTATTCTCCTTGCAATTTTTCGATTTCGCAATTTCTAGATGCATTATTTTTCGTTTTAAATTTTGTCAATGTTGAAATTTTCGATTTTTCAATTTCGGTGTTTTAAAATTTTTCGATTTTAGAAATTTTCGTTTCTTCAATTATTCAGTCTGCCATTTTACGATTTCTCAATTTCTAGATAGATTTAGTTCTTGTTTTTAAATTTTAAAATTTTAAAAATTTTAGCTTTTCCAGTTTTTTGATTTCTCAAATTTTGAGTTTTTTAGTATTTCAATGTATCAGTTTTCGTATCTTCAACTGCATACTCGATTTGCAGTTTTTCGATTTTTGAATTTCCATTTTCTTTCTGAAATATTGTAATTTTTCATTTTTTTAAAGTCGATATTTTATTCTTTCGTATCTTTCAATTTTCGATTTGCAATTTATTCGATTTTTCAGATTTTCGATTTTCAATTTTTGGATTTTACAATGAAAAATCGTAATTTTTAATTTCTCATGTCTTCACTTATTCGGCTTGCAATTTTGTATTTAGTTTTCGTTTTTAATTTTTTTCACTCTTCAAATTTTCGATTTTCAATTGTCCGATTTTTCAATTTCTGATTTTTTTTAAGTTTTGGATTTTATAATTTTTTCTTTCTACAATTATTCAGTCTGCAGTTTTCCGATTTCGCAATTATTTCTATATATTTTTATGTTTTTAATTTTTAGATTTTTCCATTCTTAGGTTTCTGAACTTTTGACGTTTTTACTTTTTCGTTGTTTCAATGTTCTTTTGTTTAATTATTTGATTTGCAATTTTTCGGTTTTTGAATTTCTAGTAATTTTAATTTTTCTTTTTTAAATGTTTCGACCTTTGAATTTCTAGATATTTTTCTTTTTCAAATATTTCGATTTTTCATTTGATGGATTTTTTATTTGCGGTTTTCAGTCTTTTGATTTTTCAGTTTCTGAATTTTTAATTTTTCGCATCTTCAATTATTCGCTTTATTTTTCGTTTTTATTTTTTTTGCTTCTATCTTCAAATTTTCCAAATTTCTTCGGACTTTTTTAATTTTTCGATTTTACAAAATTCTCCAATTTCGCAATTTCTGGACATTTTTGTTTTTTGTTTTTAATTTTTTTCTCTTTTCAACTTTTCGATTTTTAATTTTTCGATTTTTCAATTTCCCATTTTTTTTAAGTTTTCGATTTTATAATGTTTTGTTTGTTCAATTATTTGGTAAATTTTCCAATTTTTTAATTCTTCAACTTTTGACTTTTTTACTTTTTCTATGTTTCAATTTTCGTTTGTTTCTTTATTCGATTTCCAATTTTCCGGTTTTTGAATTTCTAGTTATTTTAATTTTTCCTTTTTCAAATATTTCGATTATTCATTTTATCTATTTTTTATTTACGGTTTTTCATTTTTTTAACTTACTGATATTTTATTATCTTCTATTTGCAATTAATCAATTTTATAATTTTTGGATATCTCTAGATCTTATTTCTCGTTTTTAAATTTTTCAGTTCTTCAGTTTTTTGATTTTTCAGTTTCTCGTTTATGAAGTTTTCGATTCTACAAGGTTTTCGGTTTTTCGATTTCGCAATTTCCAGATAGTTTTATTTTTTGTTTTTAATTTTTACATTTTCTAATTTTTTGAGTTGTCAGTTTTAAATTTCCCAAAAATTTGGATTTCTTTACTTTTGAATTTTTTAGTTTTTCGATGTTTCACTTTTCGTTGCTTCCACGGCATATTCGGTTTGCAATTTTTCGGTTTTTAAATTTTTATTCACTTTGTCAAACATTTCAATTTTTCATTTTGCGATTTTAAATTTTTTTAATTTCGATATTTTAATTTTTCGTATAGGTACTAGGTAAAATTTTCGATAAGCAATTTTTCAAAATTACAATTTTTTGGATTTTTCGTTATCTAGATTTTACTTTTCGTCTTTAAATTGGTCGATTTTTCGATTTTTTGTTTTTCGGTTTCTGGAGTTTTAATTTTTCGTGTTTTCAATTTTTCGCCGTGCAGTTTTTCGATTTCGCATTTTCTAAAGGTTTTAATTTTTTTTTGTTCTAGCTTCAAATTTTCGAATTTCTTCGGGTTTTTTTGTTTTTCTATATACGTATGTATTTTAAAAAT